TCTAAGTCGTACTACAAGGCGATTTGAGTCTGTATTGATTCCTTTGTTGTAATATCGGTGAATACAATTGTTCGGTGGATTCCCTGGCCGAAAACACTTGTGATCACGGGTATTGTCCGTTTAAATGCTCAGAAGATGCTGCTCGGTTTTCTTAACCTGGTGTTCTGAACTTGACACAAACTTCATTAAATTTTATTACATACATATTTTCTAGTTAACAACAAATTAAAAACGCCGGTGACATCTTTCATAATTTTCTTATCTTTGGATTTTTTCATATAAACATTTTTTGCGGCCCATAGATTGACCTGAACCACGTGTTCGAAGTAAAATAAAGACATGTATAGATAGCGTAAACGTTGCTATTCATTCAACGATTGGTCAGTTGGTGCGTGGTATGATTTGTCGTGCGCATTGATAACAATAGCCATATAAGGCATACAAAGGTTTGTCAGTTTAAATGATATTGTAAACACATTTTTATGCGCCCGGATCGATAGATCCCGGGCATATATTGTTTTTGTCCTGTCTGTTTGTCTGTTTGTCTGTTTATCTGTTTGTCTGTATGTCTGTTGTCAACTTTAACCTTGGCCATAACTTTTGAACAATAAGAGATAGAGACTTCATATTTGGTATGCATACTCCACTAATAAAGTCCTTTCAAATGACATCAAGGTCAATGACCTTGTGACCTTGACTGTGACCTATATGCTAAAAATAGCTTTTTCCACTGTTTGTCATGTCTTTTTAACCATAGGAGATAGGGACTTCATATTTGGTATGCATACTCCTCTAATAAAGCCCTTTCAGTTGACAACAAGGTCAATGATCTTGTGACCTTGACTGTGACCTATATATGCTAAAAATAGCTTTTTACACTTTTTGCCATAACTTTTGAACCATAGGAGATAGTCACCTCATATTTGGGATGCATACTCCACTGATTATGTTCTTTCAATTGACACCATGGTCAATGACCTTGTGACCTTGACTGTGACCTATATGCTAAAAATAGCTTTTTACACTTTTTGCCATAACTTTTGAACCATAGGAGACAGGAACTTCATATTTGGGATGCATACTCCACTGATTAAGTTCTTTCAAATGACACCATGGTCAATGACCTTGTGACCTTGACCGTGACCTATATGCTAAAAATAGCTTTTTACACTTTTTGCCATAACTTTTTAACCATAGGAGATAGGAACTTCATATTTAGGATGCATACTCCACTGATTAAATTCTTTCAAATGACACCATGGTCAATGACCTTGACTGTGACCTATATGCTAAAAATAGCTTTTTACACTTTTGGCCATAACTTTTAAACCATAGGGACTTCCTATTTGGGATGCATACTCCACTGATTAAGTTCTTTCAAATGACACCACGGTCAGTGACCTTGTGACCTTGACTGTGACCAATATGCTAAAAATAGATTTTTGAACTTTGTTTCCGCCGGGCGCATAGTGTTTCACAAACACATCTTGTTTTCTACCATGGAATTGGGCTATTTTGGGGAAATTGTCTCTACAGAGCTCCAATTTTTGCCGTAAATTATCACAAAAGCAAAGATAAAGTATATGTTTTGACCCCCCTCCCTTACCTACCGAAACATGAAAGTTTTTCAGAAAGATCTGGAAACACATTTTTACAGGACACGTTTTCAAAATAAACAGACTAAAGCATTTTCCTGTTTATTGCCAATTTTATTTTTAAAACCGGTTCTACCTTGTAACCTTTGAATGGGTCAACCTAAACCACGTGGCTTAAATTTGAATCACAATAACATTAGTAGGGGTGATATAGTTCCTATTGTGTATTCAACAGCGCGGTGACAAGGTTTCGCGTGTTTTATAGAAATTTGAACGTTGTAGATTTCTATTGGATTTTATAAAGAAAATTACACTGAATGTAAATATAGAGATTTGGATGTCGTGGATTTCTCAGGGATTTCATAAAGAAAATTACACTGAATATACATATAGTATGTAGTTAATCTTATCGATAGATTGAGACAGTTGATTTGACTCTGATGTTTACGAAGAATTTTTATGGGTACATGTACATACTACATAGGAAAAAATATTCGTTATCCAGGTCCAATACCTTCGGCGTCAGGGTGTATGGAATAAAACTCGGTGTAAATCCCCGTACACCCTTGATTGAACCTGGATAACTATTATTCCTGTCCCATTTTTCCTGTTACAATGTGTGCCTGTTGAAATTTATCATTTTTAAAAAAAAAAAATTTCAACATTATAGCAAAAACGGTCTTGTAGGAGTTTGCAATCATTTTAACAGGACCTGTTTAATCATGTAATAAAACAGTTATTGCTGGGGGGGGGGTGGTTAAGGTCAATACGATGATTTAGCCACCTTCGAAGTATCTTCGCCTTTTGGGCTCAGTGAATATTGTACCTTCAGGTGTCTAAATCATCGTATTGATCTAAAAAAAACAGCAATAACTGTTTGGTATTCGCTGACTAGTTATCAATCATATCACATACGAAATGATGACTTTAAAGAGATTTCTGATATTCTTGTTTCATCAACTGTTTCTTAATAATTTACATCATTTCAGAAATTATTCGTAGAGCATGCTCAGGCACATCGAGTCAACCGAGAGAAATACACTCCGTTTGCAGGTGATGAAGGTAAATTGCTGCATATAGGTAAGGAAAGTTGACGGTTGAAAAGTTAAAGTCATCACATTTATCATAAAACAATCTTGGTTGTAATATTACCATTAACGTCTTTTTCAAGTAAAATATCAAAAAAGGAAACAGATGTGTTCGTCTCTGCGGTATGTTTTATTTCAAGCTCACCGAAATATATCTTATCGACATAAGAATTGTTGGAAGACCTGGTCTCCAAAAAAACTACAAAGATTGTTATAGTTAGTTTTAAATTCTCTGATTTGTAAAACTTTAATATAACATATACAATCAGAACTTTTTTAACAAAATAATTTAAAAAATGACCAATGACAAAGTTAGTAAATTTACGAGTTCCATTTTTATTGAAAAAGCAGCTGTCAGTAATATCAAAAAGCTGGGCTTAGTTTTATCGTGTGGGATGGTTGTGTATAAAGTTGAAAAGTCGTAAGTTTTTAAGCTATTAATTTTGGTAAAATCTTTTGATTTCAAAATTTCCAAAAGTTCCAAGGAATTTTTAAGTATCTAAATTTGATTTACACCACTTCTCGAAGAGTTGCACAGTACTCTTGAAGTTTCTCCTTCACTACTATTAATATCTTAATGAGGATTAAAGAAAGAGGCTTGGTTGAACATTTACTGGAACCCGCTATGTATCTTTGTAAGGATTTTTAATGACGTTTCGGTATTCAATATAGCTATGGTAAATCAAATTCATTTTGGTTCTTTGGGATATTGAAAATATTCAAAACTGATATATGACATGATTTTGAAGAATTTCTTCTTTTGAAAGGGAGCTATGAGTTTAAGTTTGATTACTACTTGTAGAATTAAATCCAAGTTCTTCTAAAATACAATTTATAAAATGAGCCTTACAAACAAAGACAATGTTGTTACCTGCTTTGACAGCATGGACCAGTACATACTGTTCATGTAATCTATCTAATTCTTTTTTCACTCTTGCATTATTGAATACAGAAAGATAGATGGTTTTTATACTGCCCTCAATCGTTTACATGTTCGATGGCTGTTCAGTAAATAATGTCCTCGGTGCTCGGAAAGAAGCAAAGGACGCTTTTCAATAATATAGTCTGAACGATTTAACTTAAATATTCTCTTTGACTTAAAACAAATGTCTGTAACAATTTTATCCAATTTCTGATTGTTTTTAGAAATCATTTTTGAGTATGGTCTTTGTATAGTGGATTATAGCAGATTCTATGAACTCCTGGACTTGTTTCTTTTTCTGAAAGGTGTTTTTGTCAAGTTTGGAAAATGAACCAAGTGACAAATCTGGCGCATATTATTGTCTGACTAAATATTACCTCTCTGTTTTATCCCCAAAACTCCTTTACAGTTAACTCTTCATGGCTTGTGGGTTTGGACACTGTCATGAAGAAATTTAATGTAGTGGATTATTGATTCTACTTCCTTCCTCTCAAAAATGTTTCGATTTTTTGAAAAAAATTGCTTTCTAGATTCCTCCAGAAATTGAACTGCCTTCTTAAATAAGAATTTGAACAACAAGACCAATAATATTCAAGAAAATGGCACATAGAACTTCTTTGTCCTCTTTTAATTCTTTGCTCTTTACAGACTTTTGCTGTTTTTGTCAAGTGCATCGTTTTGAGGGTAATAAAGCAATGAAGTCAAGTTTCATTATCTGTTTGAATTTCAGACAAGCATGGATAACTTCAATTTCTGATTTTTTAAAAATAATTGTTTATATATTCTTAAGCATTGAATTCATATTTTTGGATGTCTTCGGTCCTATAACACACCTGGCCGTCAATTTTCTCTTTAAAATTGAATACCGCGCGTTGATGCCTATTAAATTTGCAATGTGATTTAAAGCCAATCAAACATCATAAACGATAAATTTTTGAATTTTGGCAAACAGAACATTGGTTGTTTGAAGTCCTTGTCGCCAAGGACGGTACCAATTTTTGATGCCCATTATATCATTATTATTCATTGAAATCAACCTGCTCACGTGTCTATAAAATGGACATCGGTTGCTGTAAATTTCACTAATTTCAGTGAGTATTTCTTTGGGATTCTTATCAAGTTTTACAGCAGCTTGAATGAAGCTATTATATTAACTCTAGTCTACTTATTCTTTACCATTCATTTTTAATGCAGTGTCTCAAATAGCCCTTGTTTTCCAGCCCCTCACAATGAAAATATGAGATGAAAAGTGGTCACATAAACTGATATCAATTCATTAAGGATTCAATCATGAGAGAAAGTAAAGCTTAATATCATGTGATATTTGTGTCGTATGTTATAGAGTTCAGGACATTATTTATTGAACAGCCCACGTAATACGCGATTGCAACATAGATCTGATAAAGGATACACGATAGAGGACTTTCTTTCAAATATTCAATATCAAAGGTAATAAAACGAAGAAACTTGATCTTACATATAATGCGAGCATTGTATAATATTTTACAGTCATTGAAAAATACATCATCAAAAGTTATATATACCGAATATGCATATTGTACATTTTATAATAATACACGTTTATTGTCAATTACAGGGTATTTCTGGGGTGCCGTTTTAATATATTTTTTTAAAAAGTTTTGGTTTTTTGACGTTAATAAAGACAACAACTTAGGCTAGACTGAAACAAAAAGTGATACTGTAAAAGCACAAATATTCGTTGGGGATTCAATTTCCTTTATTTTGTTGTTAACAAAATTCAACGAAATTCAATCCCACACGAAATTTTATATGACTATATATTGAATAGGGTTAGTTTTAAAACAACGAAATTAAATGCACACGAAATTTATTTTGATGACAAAACAATGAAATTTTATGCCCACGAAAATTTGTGCTCCTACAGTATATAAGATATCAAAAAATCGATTTTCTGATATGCTAAATTCAAATTCTTGAAATCAAGAATTATTTTCTTTTAAGAAATCGACTTATTGATATCAAGAATTCCTTTTTCATATAAAAAATAACTAAAAAATATAGAAATGGCGCCTCATACTAGTGAAACATATTCTTTAGTAATCTAGTTTCGATTCTGTTCCTTGGAAATCAATTAAACTACAGGTGCGTCATAAAACATATTTAGAAAGCCCAGAAATTTTTATGTATGCTATTATGCAACATACGATTTGATAAAGGATACATGTATTTCATTGTAAATCTTTTTTTCAAATCTTTCTATTTTTTTTTTCTTTTGTTTTTTTTGTTACTAAGTTTGTCTATTTATTTTCATATCTATATATTGTGTGCTCATTTTGACCTTGTAGGGAGAGGGCTAAAATAGGCTTTGCCTGCTGCCCAATCCCATTCACTTTTGTGAATAAAATTTTGTATAAATTAAAAAAAAGGAATTTTTATTAAATACCACAGTTTTTTCTCTCGAAAATGTTTCAAATTTAATTTACCTCTACGATCAATTTGTTTAGTTTTACAACTGCTGTGTTTCTTAAAAAGTTTCTGCTTTTTTTACAGTAGCTGTTTACCACGTGACCAACATTTTAAAGTGATATATAAGCTGTCAATCAAAGTACTCAGATTTTCAGAGAGCCGGGCTCATTTTCAAAGTCAAGAATTATTTCTTACATGAATCACGTTTATATTCTGATGAAAAATTTATTTTAAAACTATCAATATAAAAAATAACTGACAAAAATATAAAATACCACGGTCCGATTTTGTCACAGAATTAATCACCGCAGCTGAATGTAAACAAACAGGCCAGTTTTCCCTCTCCTGCTTTACCTCGTATGTGTAATTAAACTACAGGTGCTCATAAAACGATTATCAAAAATCCTTACGCTAATGAATTTTTTTGACTACTGAAGTTTTCAAAGTCATTACTACTAATGTTTATTTTATACAGATAAAACTTCGTTTTATTTTTATTGCTTTATTTAGCGTTTGTATTATCTCAAAAGCTTGAGAGTCAATTATATTTTTGCACGTTTTAAAATGGTGTTTCTTACTATGCACAGTAGCTGTTTACCACGTGACCAACATTTTAATCAGGAAGGAATGGCTGTCCTAAAAATGAAACCAGCTTTTGCCAAGATCTCATAAACAAAACTTTTTACCGTCTGTTTTTCTTTTCTAATTGAATTGAAACACCACATTGAGGTATAGAATGTTATTTTCTTTCATTTCTCATATTTGACGGAATCAATGGTTACAATTAAATTGTGTTATTATAGTAACCGGACCTACTCGATCAGACTTGTAGACGAAAATCCATTTTATCTTATAAAAACTGATAAGTATCAAAGTACCACATTAAAAACTGTTTTGGAATAAGTTTTAAATGTAATCTTAACATGACTGCTTTATATTTTTTTTAATGCCCATGAGCGACATCGCTCATATGAGTCACCTTGACATATTGTTTAGAAAATGCGTCCTTGGGTACTCCTGGCCATGATTTGAACGCAATAGAATCAAAACTACCTGAGGATGCTTGTATTTTAATATCATTTAGTCATATCTTACTTTTCATGAGTAATCATTATGTTCTTTAAAAAGTTTTCTTTTGATTTTCTATAGTACCACGCAACCTGACCTGACATGGTTAACCTTTTATTGCCATATTCATGGGCACTGCTGCTCTTCAGAGGAAGGTTAGATTTATCCACTCTTTCCCAAGGAGCCTTGTTAAAAGAAACTAAATCCTGAACTTTATAAAAGTTTTCTTCCTTATTCACGTGCATTAATCCCCTTTTATAACCCAACCATGTTCATATAGGTACCAAGACTGTATAAAATTTGAGGTTGTAAGGCCTAGAGAGCCAAATCAAAACGCCTTATAACAGTCATGCTATTTTTCAGCAGAAAAAAAAAATGAAGATATTACCTATGAATTTGCAAAACTTCATTTCTCATTGTGACCTTGTCTCAGACATGGTAAGAAAAATCATTTCAATCTTACAATGTCAAAAAAAATTCACAAAAATTTCCTAATTTCTGGTCTAGTTGTTCTTTAGATAAAAAGAAAACATGAAATAAACCCCATTTAATTTTTTTTATTTTTGCATTTTTCTCGATGATTTCTCATTGAAACCGAAAGGGCTTATTACTCGTGCATCCAGGTCCTGTAAAAGGACCCTGTACCAAATGAATAATTACTTTTCCACAAAAGTCACGTAAATTTTTCCAAATGCCATGTAAGTTGCATTTCAGTGCTTTTTATATCTAAATAAAACTTAAATTTTGAGATTTTTATGATCGATAAAGATATGAATATGCCATCAAAGTTACTCTATATTCAACAGTTCAACTTAAGACATTAGTATTTCCAAGAGTTCTCAATTCTAAATTTAAAATTCCGAATATAAAGGGCACAAGACCCTGTATGCCATTTTTAAAAAGTGTCAATTAAGGACATTAGAGAAGATTGATCGTTTTATTATACCCCCCACTTGAAAAGCGGGAGGGTATATAGGAATCGTTAATTCATTCCGTCCGTCCGTCCGTCCGTCTGTTACGCTTTGGGGTACCCATCTCTTATCCGCAACTCCTCTCATACCACTGAATGAAATTTGGTGAAACTTTCACAGAATCTTTATTACATATTGCCATTGTGCACCTCCTATTTTACTTTTTGATCCGACACATATTTTGGGTTTCCCATAGCAAAACATGGACACTGCGATTTATACACATATGGGAGGCGGGGGGTATCATTTAGTGAGCCCTTTGCTCACAGTACCTCTAGTTTAAAAAAGACTTGAATCCACTTTGAGGGAAACTTTGTGACAAATTTGATTGACATCGACCGAATAGTTATGGAAAAGAATATGAACTTATGAAAAGTTAAAGACGGGAGAAATTTCGATAAAAACCTTACTTAATTTGCGTGTCAGTTCAAGCAATTAAGGATACAGATCGATAGCTTATATTTAAAAAATCTTTAATTTCTATTTCAGATTGCTTTCTATGTGATACAAGGAAAATAATGGAGGACACTTCAAATCCAGTTCCCAATCTTTCTCCAAGTTCTGATTATGCCTTAAATGCATTTCTTTTGGACATTGCAAATGAAATTACTGATGAAGAACTTGAAGATCTTAAATTTCTTGTATCAGGTTGAGTTTGTCTTGACATTGAGAAAAAAGGCTAAAAAAAGGGATCTTTAAAAATTATTTTCCAATATTTTATAACCAATGAAAGTTGTAGAATTGAGATAATGTAATGGATTATATACTAAAGAAGTATCATGCCATTCAACATCATGTAGATGGAGAAAAAGGCAAAAATACATTTTATTTTTTCTGTCTCATCGTCAGTAATTATTCTTTTACATCAATAATATTACTTTCCAATTCCAATTACAGATTCTTATTAATTATTTTGTTTCAGGCGACTACGGGATCTCCAAAAGGGCACTTGAAAAAATAACGAGACCAATTCATTTGTTTACAGCACTCCGAGAACGAGGTCTTTTAAATTCTAATAATCTGCTCACATTGCAGTCTATGTTATGGCATATCAAAAAAAGAAATCTTCTTCAAAGATATGTAGATTTTGCTGAAAATATTGGAGTTCCATATTTTGTGGTTCCAAATGACACCCCAGGCGAGTATATAGTTACGGTTTTGATTTCCGGGTACTAGTAATCGGTTTACATTACAGTATTGAAAGGTCTTGAATATTTTTAATGATTAATAATAATTTGGAGAAAAAACGCTACTGAACATTCGTATCTTTCAATATAGATTTTTGTCAATTTTTCCATACATAGGTAAAATTGTTTAAGAATCAAATTCATAAATGTTTTATTGAACATATATGCAACTTATAAAGCTAAATGCAAAGAGTGAAGCAAAACATCAAAGGTGTTTTGAGCATACACTATATATTATTGTTTCCCGCCGAACCCATATATATAAATCACACTTTTAAAATATCGACTAATGTACGCTGAGGAAAGGTAAAGAGAGTTGGTGGGAAAAAGATATCTGAAAGAATGGGAGAGACAATAGAGACGGAAAAGAAAAAGATAGGGGAGAAAAAGAGGGATGGCAAAAAGAGTTTGTTTCTTTGATGTTTCAATCCCGTCTAGAGAACTTTTCGCTCAGTGGAGACGCAACCACTTGCCAGTAGAGAGCTGCAAATTTTGATTTATGCTCTGCACTTAGGGCCATTGAGCAATAAGGCATCTTTTATTCGTGCCACATAGGAAAAAATTGAAAAAAAGAGACACAGACAGTATACATATATTACATTAAAAAGAGATTCTTATAAATCTTGATAGAAACGTATTGGAATAATAAATGAAAATTTCATTAGAATTATTTTGTATTAAAGATATCCTCTTTTATTAAAAGAATGTAAACAGGGTGGTCGAAAATATAAACAAAATACAGTACGTGTTATTGTCATACAATTCACAGAAAATTCCAAACTATCACGGGCGAATTTAGTTTTGAGAATAAAGGTATAAAGTCAAAAGGGAGTCTAAAGAAATATCATGTGCATTTAATGTTATTGTCGTCTTTTGTTGAAGTAGTAAAAATTAAAGTTTACTTGAAATTTTGACTTATTTTTAAAGATAGATGAAACATTTCCTTTAAATCAATATATATTCATGTAATGTTCTTGTAGAAAATGGATATACCTATGTGCATTTCCATATCAAGGGTAAAGGCCTTTGTCAGCTCAAGCGTACTCAACTAGAAGAACTGAGGATGAAGATAGCTGAAATCCTGCATGTTCCCCCAAAGTTCATCATTATCGCTGGAATTCAAGCTTCCAATAGTCTTGTTATTACATTTATGGTTCCGAGGGAATTCACATATCTCCTGAGGCACTGCAAAACTGAACATACACCCGTTTTCCATCTGCTTTCTGTTGATAAATGGATTATGGATGATATTACGGTCATTGTGGAAGGTACTGTTCATTTGTATTTTCTTCTGTTCTTTTCTTTATCAAAAGTTGTTGCTGCGGTTGAAAGGATTATAAATGTATATCCTTTCTGGGGTACCGTAGGTAACAAGTTCAATTTAAGCCTTGTCAGCCTGTAATTTTTAGATTAGACAATGAAAGACCAATTTGCCAATATAAAAAAGTGCACCTATGTTTTGTCAATTATCAAGCAAGTTTAGCAACAAGTGGCAGAAACATCTATAATTTTGGTGTCCCCACAATTTCAATAGGACAGATTGACTGTTATATTTAAACCCTCTTTTTTTTCTTCTGAATTATTGAATCTATCTGAAAAGTATACAGCATTAAAGATAACTTTTTTCTACATATAAATTCATATCTTAAATATGAGTTCTTCGGCGATTTATGTAAAAAGCACAGTTTTCACATACGCTGTTATTTTCATTTTCTTGGCAAAGATCATTTATAAACAGTTTTCCGCTCAGTGATGTGACCATGCTTACTTTAAAATTGAATTTGTGAAAACAATAGGGAAATCCATGAGGTTTTCCGTGTTTAGGACCTCTTTGACAGAGCTTTTTAACTGTTAAAAAATAAAACTTAAAGCCTCAACATTTATTATGATATACTGTATGTTGCATTACTTATTGAATGACCCTCGTAAACCAAGTAGAGATTTAAATTAAGATGTAAATAAGGCATTAATTATTGTTCGATATGTATGTATTGAAATATATGTACAGACTATTTTGAGATGATCGCTCAACTTTTAGGTGCATGTAGATAAAACATAAACATACTGTTGTCTGGGACATGCGGGTAATATTCTGAACTAAAGACTAGTTGCTCAGTTCAAGATTGCAGAAAAAATAAATGCCAAATCATAATTCAAATTCACGATAGAGCAAGTTAAGACATTGTTTTGAGGTGAGATCCTTATCTGCAATAAACCTATATGTGCGCTTGTAACAATTTTATTTGTTTCATAGGCAGTAAAATGGAAGAAGAGAAGCATACTTCAACTCAGATGGAAAGGGAAGCTCAAAAAGCTATACAAAGATACAAGCAAATACAAGAGGCGTTGGACACAAAAGAAGAAGAGTTTGAAAATTTTAAGTTAAATGTCTGGTTTGCAACCATTTTCTTTTATGAAAAAGCCTCTGTGGATCGATACAATCTGCATCTTCAAATGAAAGCGCTTTTGGAAAAAACTCATTACAGCTCTTTAGATTCTTTGCAAAAGACATCAGTTCTTACATACTTTCGATACATGTTGAAAGTCGTTCGAAGGAGGGGCTATGACGAAGATGTAATTTCTTCACTCCTGGAAGCACACTCCTTAGTATTTCAGTGGCAAAGAAGAGAAAAGAAAGACATTCTTATCAACGATCTCCAGTTAGAAATTCAAAGGCTTCAGCTTAAGCTTCGTGACCTTCAGGTTGATTTGACAGTGTTAAAATGGCAAAAGGATAAACTTGCATTTTACTTCGGTATCAAGGAAAAGCATAGAATATTGTCGGCTAGTGAAGAATTCTTCTTAACCGTCATTTGTGGGAGAATTCCAATTGCAAAAATAGGTGTAACCCCGGGTAAACATTTTTATCTAGTATGCAAATGAAAATTAATCATAGATATAAATAATATCAGTGAATCTGCCATAAACTATCTCCTGCTTGCGCACTTTTACAATTCCTAAAATTTTGATTTTTTCAGAATGTATGGAATATATTTTCCGTAATCTCGCTCATGACATAACAAAATCTAATATGAAGGCATTGATACGAGAATCAACACTCACTGGGAAGGAGTTGGAAGAGAGTAAACATTCAGCCTATGCGTTGTTGCAGAACACATTCAGACAAAAGAAAACACAACTTGGACAAAGCTTTGAATTCGGTACCACAAAATTTAATCTTCTCAGTCAAAATTCCAATTTATAAAAAAAATTAATCAAGGCTTCTTTAGTAAGTTGCATTTTGAAAACAAATTAAAACTTACTTTATTTTGTATATTGTAGGGCAATTTCTCAGAGAGTTTTTTAAACCTATCCAGAGATCTGGTCTCGAGCAGAAAGCATCTCATTACTTAGGGAGGTATCATTTTGAAGAGCTTTTAAAGCAATCCCAAATTAGTGAGAAGTCTGCAGAACCTCAGATTCAACCTGGAACACCTAAACGACAGAGATATCACTCTGAATCAACAGTTGGAAAGCGTGAGGAAAGTCTCCCGAATTCTCTGGAAGAGCGTTTGACAAAAATCGAGGGTATGCTAGAACGAATTGAAAAATCTTCCAGTGAGTTACATTTAAATCCACTTGAAAAATACGAGTCAATGTTAGAATCATCGGGGGTGAAGTCTAAATACAAAGGGCTGTTGATGCCTGATCTATTTCCACTTAATATTTGATACAAATTATGAATGCAGTGTTTATCAATATTTGTGGAAAAAAAACAATTTACATGTATAATGATCATGCTTGTCAGTTATATAGCTTGAGCTTAAAACTTGACTGCTGAACCTATGCACATTTCTTTTGTACAGTGAATTTTTTAGCAAAGAAAAATAAATTTCATTGTGTCTGTGACCCAGTGATTAAAAGGTATTCAAAACTGACTAAAGTATTGGAATCTCAAAGAATAAAGCATCTTTTCTCTAGAACATCAAACACTCAAATTGTTAGTTATAGCCTGATTGTACATGTACTCAGTAATTAACAGTAATCCATCAACCACGATTGTGAAATACATGGACAAGGATTCGGGGTTTTTAGTGAAAGGGTGAGAATCAATAGATTATCTAGTGAAAAATTGATATTATTTTTTATATTTTCCTATGTAATAAAATAAAGAAAAGCATAAATAAAATGAGCAAGGATGCCTCATCCAAAATTGTGAGATCCAGTAAATGGACCAATGCTTTTGGTGTTAAGGGATTTCTCTGTTGATCACATAGTGAAAGCATAAATTCTTTTAGAAGCCTTATACTCTTTCTATGGGTACTTAGCTGATAAATTACCAGATGTGAGTCCCTAGTTATGAAATGGTTCTTCTTCTAGAAAATTGGTCAGATTTAGAAATCACACAGGGCTCTATATGTAGTGTAATGTAAAGGGCAAGGGCTCTGAAGTCATGGTGAGGCTTTATTATGATAATTTGGGAAATATGGAAAATTTACATCTTTTAACAGACGCTGTTACCCCTTTTTAATCATCAATACTTAAAAATTGTTATAAATTAAGTTAGACGTAAAGAATAATAAGGTTTTTAATGGACAGATAGACTTGTAAATGATAAAAAAATTAAAATAAAAAAAAACAACATGTTAAATTTGTACATGACGAGTAATTCAAAAAGGAGGAGCTTTAATTGTTAGGAGGTTATGCTAAGTGTCATACGATAAAATGTGTTATTAAGTTTGGCAATTGTGTACATGTAAGAGTGTAGTAAAAAAATGGCGCGACTACCAGTAAACACATTTCAGAGTTGTGTTGCTAATTATTAGGCTATTTTGTTTTTTGATCGCCCTGCTCTTGTTTTTTTAAGCAACAAATATATCATATTTTTTGTTTTATCATACTAGTATGTATCTAATGAATTGTCTTTAGCTTGGATCTTTAAAATAGTTGAATTATACTCTGGTGACCGTTAAGGCCTATGGGCCTACTGTACTTTAAGGATTAATGCAATATTGGAGAGTAAAAATGAGGTGTAAACTTGTCAATGATTTAAAAATCATATATATTAGAGAAATGTGATGAAAAAAGATATGGAGAAAATAATCCGTAATGAAACTCGAGACACCGTCGAAATAATAAACTTGGAGGCCACAGCAACGAACCTCTTAAATATCAGAGTTGGGATCCGGTGCCATGGAGTAAGTATCTCCTGGCGATCGATAGCACCCCGAGTGCTTTCGATATAATCAGAAAAAAGAAAATCCGTAGAACGATTCCATGCATGTGTAAATAATAGTCTAACAATTAGTATTAAAAACGTCAGTCAGCATTTGACTTAATGATAGATTGTATTTGCTGACAAGGTCATTTTATCAACCATTAAACATATTGACATACTGTTGATATTCTCGTTCCATCAATTTGTTTATCAATAGATTGCCTAGTTTTGGAAATTGCTTGTACGTAGAACATGTTCTTGAGTGTCAATTAACTGTGAAACATTGTCGTATGCAAGTGAAAAGGGTATAATATGCTACTTAAGGAAGGGAAGTTGAGGTTAGAAAAATGGAAGTCTTCACGTTTATTATAAACTTTTGTATTTATGTTAAAAATAGCACAGCGTTATAGTAAAATATCCAAATATGAAAATTTATATATTTATATGTTATACTCTGTTTTATCTTTATTTTCTACTTCACTGGAATAAATTGAATTGACATATGAATAGAAATTACAATTGTTAATAGATCAGTTTAATTATTTTTTTCTCATAAAATGAAAAAAAGGACTTTGTTTTATTCTTTATTTATTTATTTATTCATTTTTGAGAGGAGTGTCATTTTGTTTCTCTGTAGTCTGTAACTTCTTCACTACATGTAAAAAAAAAACAAATAAAGGAAGCATGGATTAATTCAACAGGTAATATTATTTTTTAATAAAGTTTACTCCAGTCTGATTGCCCTTTGCCCCTTCTCAAATCATTGCTAGGGCAAGGGGACAAGGTTTTTCCGACTGGATTTACTTCAACAAAACAGTATTTGCCAATCAAACCTATAAAATATGTCGTAAAGTACACAAAAATGCAAATAATACAATGAAATTTACTGAAAAATATGTTAAAACAGTTCCCAAAGTCAGGTGTTTAAGTTTAAGTTTTGAAGAAGCGATAAGTGTTCCCCTAAAGACTGATATGAGGTCTTTTACCAAACTGTTATCGTGTATATGAACAAAGAAGAAGGTACGGTTTTAGCTTTATCGTGCCCTAAAAAATCAATGTTTTCAAAAAGTTTTGAAACTGGTTTAAATATTAGTTGAGTTTATGACTGTGATAGATCAGGAAAGAATATAGCACGAACAAGTACCATTCCTGAAATATGTTAATTTGATGCAATTTTCTATTCTAAACAGATAAAACCTCATAAAGACCCATTTCAAGGGTAATTACCCTTCAGATAACAGTGTCCAAAGCCGTCACCAACTTCAATTTAGGGATGTTTTGTGTAAAATTCAATTAAAAAAAGCACATTTCTTAACATTTTTTGGGGTTTTTCAGATGCATGTGGACAATATTATCAGAAAGAAAATTCCATTGAAAATTGGATTGTATTGAAACCATACCTTTTTCTTTCTAATCTATATTAGGCCATATGAGTAAAAAAATTGAACCTAGTCAGTATATTTTTTCTTCGTAGAGCAGATAATCACTGTTTCTTTAAAACCAAGTTTCTCGATTTTCTCGTCCTGAACGCCTTGGTGGCAAGCCTATATTGTTCCTCTCCCATAAAAGGAATGAACGGGTAGTCCCTTTAAGAAAGGATCTTCTTTAGCCTAGCCCGGAACCAATTTTAAGATCGGGATTCACCATCTGTCAAATTTAGAATAGGTGATTTTTCCAAGGTATATGGACGGGAAAAAAGCAATCAAAAAATCGTTGGAAAGAGCTCGGCTCACTTTACGTATAAAACGGCCCTTTAGATGTATCCATTTATTGACTAACACTTAATGTTCCATTTTAAACATCAAAATAAAGTGGATACTTAGTACTTTCATTTCGTATTAAAATTGTTCTCCTTAAACTTCAGGTCTTGGAACACAGGCTTTATGGAATTGCAATATTCTTGAATTTTAATGTAAACAGATATATCTGAGTACTTTCTGAGAAGAAAAATACTATGAGTGTACCCTCTGATCTAAAAAATAAAATATGTCTTGTAATCTTCCAAAACAGTTCTGTCATTTACTAGTTGCTTATTTTAGATCAGATGTTGCACTCTATGTAAAATATTGAAAAATAGCTTTAAAATTAGCTGTATTTGTAGACTTTTTTTAGAATATGAGAAAATTTGACTTATTTCGTGACGTCATAATGCATTGACTAGCCAGAAATTTACGGCATGTTTTATAGAGATGCAATCAAAAAGGTCTAAGTAATATTTAACGCACTGTAAACTGAAAGTAAATCGTTTCAGTTTTTCAGAAAATCATAGGGCCAAAAAAGGCCATAAGTGAACTCTGCTCTTTAAAAAGTTGATGGTACATGGTTTTCAACAATCCCGCTTTAAATGATTATGTTTCCACCAATTGTTGGTACTTTTTTGTAATCCATTTAGAGGAATTACTCCGTTTGTCCATAATGACTTACGAGGGTTTGATCAATCGGAAGGTGATGCTAAAATCTCCTTTGCACGTGATCAAACCTTTCGTGTTGTCAGTTTATATTTTTGCTCTGTTCACAATAAAATTGTTTTACTGGATTGACAAGATTGATCCCTGTTCGTTATCTTTACTTTGAGAATCAATAAATTTCTCAAAACTCCGTTTCATTAGTATCTAAATTTTCTAATTTGCTGAAAAAATTACAGAATTGAGAAGAATATTTGTTTTGTTATACCGGGACATAGTGTATCGTGTATACCCTATTACATTGAGGGCAAGGGGAAATCAAGATTTAAGGTCAGCTCATAATCAGAAATCATAATATTAAAGACGCAAACGTTGTTTTGTTAGTAATGAATCCTGACGTCTGATGACCATGACTTTAGCAAATTAAAAATGTCATCCCATAAACACCGGTTGAAAACTGCCATTCAGCTGAATATAAGGTCTACTGAAAAGTGGATATTTGGCAAGAAACTGCTGTTCAGTTACCGTTCCTGTCTTTTCATTTACTATTCTCTTTATTCATCCTGTAAAAACAATCTTTGTAAGAATTGTCTTTCATTAGCATTTCACTGTTTCATTGTTATATCCAAGTAATTCTTTATTTAAACAAATATGATCCAAACATCGTTTAAAGCGGACTTTGGTTGATTTATTTTAACGAGGAACTGGAGAAGTGAGGAAAAAAATGAAAAGTCGATAGGCAGACAATATTAGATTTATATATCAACACAGATATGATCATAATCCTTTGACTCGGGGATGGTCAAAATTTAAAATTGTCTTATAAATCATTTAACCGTTCATGATTTTCCTCGTCCAAATACAAAAACTTTAAAACGAAGTAAAATACACATATGATTGCATTAAAGTTTAATGTGTAAATAAGCAGATGATAAATATTAAAGCAAACAGAGAAAAGATAAAATATGTTTATAGATATGGTAAATTATATGGTACATAAAAACTAAAGATGACAATAAACCAGCTGTGTTTCTGTTGAAGGTTTTACATGTACAGTAAAACACAGTTATAGCGAACACGCTTGTAATGAATTGATATTAACAGCAAATAGATATCTTCATTCCATGTGTTATTATTATACATATTGTTTATAAGATATAACAAATTACTCTTTAAACGTCCCTGGCACTTAGTTATAAGCGTGTTTTACTGTACCTCTTTCATCTTATCCTCTAACGCTTCATAGGATTCAATAGATTCATCATCTGAAGGATGGATTCCATGGACTTCGAATGAGTGAGAAGGATTTTTGTGCACAACAATTGGATCTGAGTAAGGAATCCCATGCACTAACTTCTTTTCGAATTTTTGCTTTATCGTTGCAAACAATGGTTTCCCTTTGTCTTTACTTTCCATTTGTGTTTTCTTTGATAAATCATTGACAGTGTCTTTTCTAGAAAAACCTGTTTCGATGTGTTTAATGTAATCTTGGTCATTCCCACCAACCAATTGTGTGACTGCTGTAACATCCTCCGATCTTGTTGAAATTCCTCGCGGGGCCTCAACTACATCATGTAGTGGTAATTCAATTTTTTCATGGTGAGGTTGTAAATCAGTGGCGTTAGAAGGCAGAATTCTAAACCCAATCCTATAACAAGAGAACATGAGACTTGGAATTATTATAAAGTTTTGAAGAAACAAAAACAATAGCATTCTAATGAATAATCATAGCTTGTAACAGTTATGTAAACACTGAATAATTCTCCGTAAGGAAACTCATCACAAATACTCACAGAAGATTGTCATTGCTAAAAAGAGAAAGATAAAATTGTTGAATTTCTCTGTTGTAAATTTTAAAAAATACGAAAACGACTCTTGCGATTAGGTTTCTTGTATATTGAGGGAAAACACTACTTACGATTCATCAAATGTTTCGCCTCTGTCGTGTACGATTCTAAAATATTCGTATTTAATTATGAAAAAGGGAATAAAGATTTATTCAAATATTCCAACATACAGTCAAATTCAAGTATTACCTATACGTCTTTGCATTGCAGAAGAAGAATCGATACAAAATGGCAATTAATGTTATAATCACTAAGCCCACTACTATCAGACCAGCTATCGCCTCTTGTTTGAAGCTACATCTGTAACTGTTGATCTTATCTTCACAATTGAAGAAAACACCACAAGGTTGCTGCAGACATTCGTCAACTTCATTTTCACACCACACACCCATGTATCCTGGATAGCACGTGCATTTATAAGAATCAAATGATGCAGCTCTTGAAGTATCCTGACAAGATGGAGAAAATGTAAACTTGGGAGAACAAAAACCATGGACACAAGGAGACAAGAGAATAAAAATATGAGTCTCCAATCGCTCGGTGAAAAAGTTGTGACTATCAAACCCTAAGATGTAATAAAATAAGTCACCATGGAATGTTTTATTGGTAACCATATCGGCCGAGTATTCACTATGTGTTCTTATATTTTCAAATCTGAAAGTTTCATTTAAAATCCATTCATCATCAATGCGCGTAGTGGTTATGTGGACGTCCGCTGTATTATTCAAGCTAGAAATAAAAGAGAGAGTTTCCTTTTTGTCAACATCTGCAAAAACAAAGTTAAACAGATGATGAGATGTTGTGTTCCCTTCCAGAATGATGGCCAAACTTTTATTATTCATAACATTAAAAGAAGAGTCGTTATACAGATATCCGAACATCGGCATATCATTAACTTCATCTACTTCAATCAAAATAGTTTTATTCACAATTGTAGAATTTTCAGTATCGTCTTTCAAAGCTATTTTAACGCTGTCGTTTCCAAAAAAGTCTTCTTTTGGGTAATAACTCAATTTACCATCAGATGTTAGATTAACAAAACCAAAATCTGACATTTCACGAAGGTAAAATTGTACGGAATCCATTTCGTTATCATAGTAAGGTATCTGAAAATCAATGAGTGGTGTGTCCTCCAAAATCTGTATAGCATCTATGTCGACCTCTGGTGGTGAATTGTAGAAAGATTTGTTCATCACAGTTAATGTGTACTGGTACGGATTCGACATTTGAAATTTTGTAGATCTTCGTTTTCTTGATGACGTTTCGAAGGTTTCTTGGCAGATCTTTAATAATGGTCAGAAGTGATCAATATAAACTTGTAAACGATTTCTTTTTCTAAATCAACGTTGCATTTCAATTAAAAACTTGACTTAAATTTTACCTTTGTTTTATAAACATTTTCCCCAATGATAGGCGATTTGATGTCTCCACCACAGTTTCCCCCAACATGACGCCATATACCATACGCTAAAATATAATTGTGCGCTTCAAATATAAAAACATAATGCTTTTTTAAACCCTGACTTAAACCAAATCCGAATTTGAGTTAATTTACCCGCAAAAAAGAATTTTCCTTACTTATCATGTACAAGAAAATTTTATTTTCAAAGCCTAATAAATAATCCTTGATTTTTAAAAAACATATCTTTGACATCAAAAGCATGTTTCAATGTTCAAACATTAAAAAATGTTAGCAATGATAGAAAAAACGTTTTATTTAGCTGCATATCAGATGAGATTTTGCTTACTTTTTGTATCAGAGTTAAATGTGAAGCTATCCCAAAGAAGAAGTGCGGGTACTGTTAAATTATCAAAATCTGTCATGTTAATTTTAAACTCAACATCAATAAATTCCACTTCCATTGTCTGCGTTGGTGCTATGAAAAAATTGACTCCAAGAGGTTTCACAATTCTGTAAACAAAAACAAAAAAAGTGATGAAATATTATTCATATAATTATTTAATCAACAACAGTCATGTTTTTAAACATATGTTTTAAATATTGAGATACTTTACCTATTACGGATATCTCGTGTTGATGCCCAATTCGTGGTACTCGGATTTGTCAAGTAACTATGAAAATCAGAGGCTGATGCCGACCCATAGTCTGCCATTAAATCAGATTCAGCTAGAGAACCGATGGAAAGGCCGCTGATTTTACCTAAAACATAATTCGTTTATTTAAAAAAAAAGACACATTATAGACAATTTAAATTGAAAAATATCTAAGAGAATTTATATTTTTACAAAAAACGGGAAATTATATAGTTTTTGAAAAAAAAACAATCCGACTAAATTCAGCTGTTACTATTTGTCATCATAAACGCAGGGGTTAAAACAAATGGTTCTTAATTTACTAATATATAATAACCTTATTATGATGTTATTAGTACCGTTGTTTTTGATGTCCTATATGAATTACAAACCTTTAATATCTATTACAACTTGCTCATTCCTGTCACCTTCTGAAACTTCCTTGAATTTAGAACTGGATACCAAAGCAATGGTTGTTTTGTTCTCGCTTTCTCCATTCAAAATCAAGTCTCTGTCTTTTCCTTAAAAATATTCTTTATCGAAATTTTCCCAAATGGGGTTAATAGAATTAATTAAAAGCTAATATATAACAAAGGCTTTAATCTGGAAAAATGATGCATTCTAAATCAGTTGGAAACTTGAATTGTTTTCAAGCTGAGATAAAATAAGATCTTAATGAAATGCAGGAATAACAAGTATTCTAATGAAATGCAGGAATAACAAGTATTCTAATGAAATGCAGGAATAACAAGTATTCTGATTACAGTGAAACCTGCATAATCCGACTTGCACTGGGAGACAAATTTTGTGTCGGAATAGACAGGGTGTCGGATTGCACAGTATAAAAAATTAAAAAATAGTAAAATGGCACTGAAATTTAACAAACCTTTAATATTAATTACAACTTGCTCATTCTGGTCAACTGATGAAACTTCCTTGAATTTAGAATTGGACGTCGGACTTCACAGTGTGTCGGATAATTCAGGTGTCGGATTAGACAGTTTTCACTGTACTTACGTTCAAAGCACAGTTTTTGAGATGAAATTGTCGTCTCTAAGTTAGAATATCCAAAAGCAACCAGGGAAAGAAATACGCATCGTCCAGGTTCCATTTGGAAACGGAAGTTATTTTCCACATTGTCAACCTCTGATCCGGTCATATTTCCCCAGGTCTCCGGAGCAAAAGCGGCTAAAGATTTTCCCGTTTTTTCGCCGTTTAACCACAGTTCGCCACCTATTATTTCCGCTGTTCCTTCATTTGTGACGCCTATTACAGATGAGGGAATTATATCCGTTCCATCTTTAGATGTCCCCATTTTCCATTCTACGGAATAAAAGAATATACATCAGTTAAATGTCAATGATAAGGTAACAAAATTTTTATCAATATAAAAATACTTACTGTAATACTTGGTGTCGTTTTTCTTGTTTTTCCACTTAACTCCAAATCGGTCTAGAGAGTCCATGAAAGCTGTTCCCGTTTCTTCATCTATCATAGCCGAGTTCATCATATTTGAATCTACATCGGAAACATCAGGAGGAGTTAGCATAGTTGATATGCTGCAGCTATACACCGTTGCAAGTCCAGCACCATTAATGACTATTAGATTAACAAAGTAAGTCTTTTTGTTTTCAAAAAAGATGTCATCATCCAAGTCCAATCGTATTTTAGAAACAGTTCCTATATCTTTTTGTGGGATCATGTTTTCGTCTTCTTTGTTGCCTTTGTCAGAAGTTTCTGTTCCCACTTTGACAAAATATTTCTTAATTCCACTGATATTATCTTCACATAACCAATAGGCACCAACGCTCTTATTAGAACCCAGTTTATCTGTTGGTGTATTCATCCCAGTAACGACAGGATCTAAACATCGTATATATTCACAAACTGGTGGTGTAATGTCAATAATAACTGGATTTGTAATGGTTGAAACTGGTTGTCCAGCAAAATTAACCATTTTTACATTAACGTAATATTCAGTCATGTTGACAATCTCTGTTTCAACACTTGTATTTAATCCATCATTAGATAATACTGTAAACTTCAAATCTAGATCAACTAAAGTGAGAGGAATTTTTTCGAATTCTGGCAAACTCCCATCTTCGGAAGAACAATTTGCATCACAACTAAAATTGCAGCTATACAAGCAAGGTGTACACAACCTTTTAAACAATTCCAATTCTTTAATATTTCCTGGTCTCTCTACATTGTCCGAAATTCCTACCCATATTTCAGCGATTCCACTTTCACCATCATAAAAACCTTTTCCATATATGCAATCTAAAGTTTCATTGGTAGGAATTTTTATTTTTGTTAGTACAGCTTGGGATCGAAATGGATGTATTGGATCAATTATTGGTTCTTCGTAGTTGTCAAAATTCCAGGTGTGTACGAATATGTTAAGGTCAGTTGAATCAAATGATAATCCATAAATATTGGCCTTTAGATCTCCGTCCACTGCAAATTCCAAATCCCATACTCTTTTGTCGTCTGAATTTCTCTGCTTAGTTTGAATGCTATATTCATGCTGATTTTCAAATGGGTCTTTCTGTATTTGAACCCACCTATGAAATTCCTCATAATCATCTTTTGCCCAGAACAAGCAATCCCAAACATCGCTTTCTTCTTGCTGATCTCCTAGTATTTCAAATCCAAATCCGCTGGGAAGATATTTTTTATCGCTTTTGTTTGTCAATCCAGTTTTATTGACCAAGTAAGAGGAAGAAGAATTCTGTATTTCTGGTATCCAGTTTTCTGTTTTGTTAGTGGGATATGAAATATTCTTGCTGCTTGATTTGCCTGAGGTATTGAAATTAACTTTGCTAAAGTCAGTTGGCAGCAGACGTGTAAATTCTAGAGGAAAATATGGAATGTTGCTTGAAATTGATACGATAAAAGATGTCGAAATGTTCCGTCCTTTTGCTGTCGATAGGAAAGTTGAGTAAACTCCATTCTGTAATCGTCCTATTGCTCTTGAAATTCCACTTTTCAATACTGTTGTAAGTGGAATATCATATCCTATTTTTAAAACCCAACGATCGTTATATTTCAATACATTTCCTGTTGAAAAATCTCCTGCGAGCGAGTCCCAAACAGTGCTTTCATCAGGTGGGAATATGGTCTTTGTATTATCACATTCGTATGCATCTTCTGTTCTTGCAATTGCTGTCCAAGCCGTAATCTTTGATGTGGAAGATTGATACAATGCCTTTTGTCCCCAGCCATCTCCAACAATGGCTGATCCCACAAGTGGTGAACCGGTATCTAAAAGCATTACTGGGGTTTCCAAATAGGACTCAAGACCAGCATTGTTACTTGATGTTATGGTAATATAATAATATCTCTTCGATTCTAACCCTAAACGTGTCATTGTAACTTTCGCATCATTTATTGCCTGTATTTCTTCTACAATATAAGTGGATGAGGTCTTTGAAGCCGGGCAATCCGAATATGCATATAAACGGAAAGTAACAACATTAATTCCACTCTCTGGGTCGATCAAATTGAGTAGTTTGATGTCTATTTCATTGGAATCGGTAACAAAAAACTTATCTCGTCCTGTCACATTCCATCTATTCACCATGATGGTCACATTACTTTGATTTGGTGGAGTAGTATCAACAAGAATGGGCCTACTTTTCGTGGAAGAACACTTTCCTACTTCATCACTAGCGATGACAGTAACATAATAAGACTTCCCATGATTCAGCGTGAGATTTTTGAGAGTTTGAATAGTGTCAAGGCCAATTAACTTGGGTGGGACTATGTCAAACTGAGAGGAAAAGTTCTGCAAGTCAGAACATGGGAATGTGATGTTATTATTGACAACTAAATCTGTAGATGCAGCAATGTAATATTCTTTAATTCCTATGTCTGAGCTAAATTCACTCCATGAAACGGATATTTCGCTGGTACTTGATTGCACGTCTTCTGATTCTATCACTCCTGGTAATATTCCTGGGTTGAATCCAACTCGAACACCATTGGAATAGCTTTCTGCAAAAGCTCCTGTTATACTGTATCCCCTTACAGTTATGTAATACCGCACTGTTTTGGGCGTCAGGTCTAAACCGGAAAATGTGTAACTTTTATTAAGGCCAACATTGATATAATAATGAATATTAGTTCGAGTGATATGATTTCGTGTGTCATCGCCAATGGATACTTCATAATAATCCATTTTCTGTGTAGGGTCCCCAGAAGCCTCATCACCGAAATCATTCCAGTTTGCTGAAAGCTCTGTAATTGATTCCTGATAATCGATATCCTCGACATCAAGTCCATCTCTTACGATTCCTGAAACTGGTGGCTGGATTCTAACTGTAATGCCATCCGAAATTCCAACTTTCGTGCGATTAAGAGCATCCGTTATTTTAACCTTAACATAGTAAATGTAATTATTCTTCAAACTTAGGTGATCATTGTAGAAAACAAACCCATTACCAGGAACATCAGTGTAATTTTGGATGATTGTTCCTGTTAAGTCTTCTACTGACCATCGAGCTTCTCTAATTGGGCAATTATCAGAGTACCGATAAGACCCTAGTAAAACGAAATCAAAACATCGACTTTTAAAATGAGAACCAAAGTATTGGAGGTATAAATGAAACAAAAATTGAATTACAATGTATAAAGTTAAAAACCTGAAATAAGATAATATATACTTGAAAAATCAAGAAATTGAATTCTAATGAAAACTTTTGTTTTCTCACCTTGAATTAAATTTAAATCAATCTGAAAATCCCAATCTTTTTCTCCTTTTCCATCAAAAACCTCAATTGTAGGATCTGGACTTACAACTATAGGCTCTGATGTGACGATACTGTGAAGGCCTACTTTGTTGTACGCTCTTACTGTCGCATATATCTTTGTTCCGGAAGGGACAAAGATATTATCTACTGTCATATACGTATCTTCCATTTCCTGGTATGATTCTATATTGTCTGTTGCCGGTTCACTTCCTAAACAAATTTCAGCTCTGTAATAAAAAGAATAAGGAGAATTAGGTACTTTCCCGCTTTGCAAACTCTTTTCCGCTTGGCAAACTGGATAATTCAAGACTGTATACAAAATTAAAATATGCTATACCACCAGTACTCTTAGTAAATTGTATAATTACAACGTTATGCTGATAACAGTTATTTTTATTGTATGTGTGTTATAAAAATAAGTCCAAGTCATTCAAATCTACTGAGAAATACCTATCTATTCCAGATTCTTCGTCTTCCAGATCCAACACATTGACATCAACATAAGACCATGGTAGTTGACAAATCTGCCGTGTTAGATTTCTATCGGGATTTGTCCAAGTGACGAATTCAACATGCTTAATTACCGGTGGTGTTAAGTCTATTTCAATTTTGAAAATGTTAGTTGTAGAATGATCAATCACGTTGGTGACTGTAAGGCTGACGTAAATATTACTAAGGCTGCTTAGTTTTGAATGATTCTTCACATCCGCTGTCCAGTAATTTAGATAAGTTGGAAGTGTAGCACTTTGAACGACATCATCCATAAATTCTTGAGATCCAACGCAGATAGAAATTTGTTTCATCTTACTTTCCATTTCTATGACAACCCATGAACATTTAACAGCTGACTGTTTTATGGATATTATAGTTGTACAACTGAAATTATGAATTATTGGTGGGGAAATATCTGCTACGATTGGCACAGAAGTTGAAGACGTTATAAAGCCAACAGAATCTTCTGTATATACGTTCAAATAATAGGTCTTTCCAGCTTTTGGCGAAAATTTGCTTGAAATTTTCGACTCTGAAGAAACAGATAATAAAAGGATATCATTCATCATTGGCATCGAACCGATTGAGTAATTTTCAAATTTTAACTCTGTCTGATCAGTAACATTCCATTTGTATTCAAAAGAATCAATATAAGACTGAAAGATGTTCCGAGAATCAGAGTCGTAAATGACACCTTCATCGTTCTTTGGTGCAATGTTTGAAATCTTCGGAGGGCTTAGATCGACAGTCATTCCATCGGAAGTTGAAACAATATACATTTCGTGACAATTATGCCCCGTCTTTGCTTTAACTGTTGCATAATATGCTTGATTTTCTTGCAGTCGCACGTGTGTCTGTGCTTTTCCATGGGTGTCATTGTGAACGATGCCGTATTCTGTAAATCCATTTATGTCAGAAAAGAACGGTTTTGATCCGATTGCCCATTCATATTTAACAATATTACATGCTTCACTTTCAAACCCATGGAAATGCATTGCAATACTAAATCTGTCATTAGTGTAATCGTCATCAATGAAAGGCTTTCGACCATCAGAAATAATCCCCGGTACATTTTCTCTTAAGATCATTATTGGTTTAGAAAATTGTGGTGAGGATAGTATACCAGCGCCATTTTCTGCCTTAGCAGCAACGTAATATATCTCTCCAGTTTCGGAAAATGCTGAAAGAGTTACTTTGATATCTGCAGACACCTCTTTAGCCATGTCAATATAACCATGGGTCACACTCGTGTCATCTTGACTTGTTCCTATCGCAACATAGAATTTATCGATATGACTCTCTGGGTCATCACCAATCCAACTCACTCTAATCGATTGTGAATTTGGATGCTGGATATATCCATTTTCGATCACTTCTTCCTCCTCCAGTAATCCTATGTGAACCTGAGGGAAATATTAACAGAATAGTACTCAGTACAAAGTGTAACATAGTGCACATTTTAATATTATATATTAGATACTAGCCGTTGATTTCTTACCTTAGATATTACAGGAGGCGTTGGGTCTATAATTACTCCATCTGATTCGTGAGATGTAGAGAGTTCAGCTTTATTAACAGCTGTCACATGAACTGAGTATTTGGCACCTGCGACAAGATTTTGTTCATCGAAATCTACAGCAACAGGTCCTGAATTTGCACTCGGGAAAATAGTTAGAAACATTCCCATCTTTGGCCAAAAGCGTCTTTTTGTTCCATGGAAATATTCAAATACGGCATAACGGTACTCTTTAATTCCTGACTCGGTGTCTTCAAATTCCCATCTTAACTTCAGGAGATTATCGTCAGCTTGATATCTTTCCCCATTTTCGTTGTCTTGAATAGATATAAGATAGGGAGGTGTGTGATCAACAATATATCCATTTGTCCTAACGTCAGAGGAAAGACCTGCTTTATTAATGCTTTCAACTTTGAAATAAACTTTATCATTATGTTTCATGCTGACTGAGTGATCTATAAAAGATGTTTCTATTGTAGAATCAAATTTCTTAATTTTTGCATCGTTTATGAACACCGACACATAGTATTTTTCTATTCCGGACTCTGGATCAGTAAAATTTTCCCATGTGACACTTTTAGTGGCTGTCTCTGAGGAAAATGACGTATCTTTCAACAAACTGGGGCCGTCTACTGCAAATCCAGGGAGGGGTGGTGTTTTGTCTACCAGCACTAAGTTTAAGTAAAAGAAATATGCAATGAAAAAATTTAATAATTACGTGCAAAAAGAAAATATTGTTATAAATAAAAAAATTGAAAACTTAATAGAAGGGAGTTATTTTTAGTTTTTGATATACACGATAGTATAATACAAGTATTATAATACATTAAATACTTCTTGTACACACGCTAATACAATCTTATAAGATTGTAAATAAACTAGTATTTGTTTTCTCCTGGGGAAAATAATAAATATATAATAGCAGCTTTTTTTTGTGTGGTAAATTACAGGATATATTCCACAATGTCATTCCCAAAAACATTTTTCGTATCATACCAGGCTTTATTTCCCTGATATAAATTGACTGTGACATTTGATTGGTTGAAAGTGAAAGGTGAGTTAATTGTATTAGGAAATAAGCATTGCTGTGTCTGTAAACAGAAAGCTTGTAATTTGATCACACTGTTGTATTATAATACAAATCGTTAATATGTATTTTTGATAGTTGCCCTGAAACATCTACTAGCGTTCAATTTTTTTCGCCGTTGTAAACAGAAACTTGTCATCTGATCGACTGTTCAACGTTAATATTTATTTATCTATTTATTTTTATTGGCTTTCACAAGTATACAAAGCAAACTATATATATTTAAGCAAAACATATAAACACATATGATATACATGTACACAATGAATTTCTTTATAATTTCGTTCTTTTACAACAGTACAAAGTTTACTAGTAACCATGAAAGTTGTTTTATCACTGATATGCATTTAAATATTGACATAAATTGTAAATCCTTACAATTACATTTCATCATAAAAATAGATGATTTTTTATCAAAGTACATCACAGATTTGTTGCCAGTGCATTTCATATTCCATATATCTAATTGTAATAACAAAACCTTATAAAAATTCTCAAATCCTCTTTATTAGAACTTAATTTATGAGTTAATGACAACTACTAGATAAAATGTGCCTTTCTTCACACAGCATTTAAAATTTGAACAAAAGCAAAACAAAACTCTTGGTAAGATCATTAATATGATAAAAATTGAACACTTTAAATAACAGACGCTTTAAATGTTGTTTCCGATGACAAATTATTTTTTCTTAATTATAAATTATTTTAGATCGTATATTTTCAGAAAATTTGTTTTACTATTCACTAATATAATTTCAATATCCCTATAATTTCTCTTATACGCAGTATATCTTTCAGATACGATGTATATTTTTAACATTTTCTTTCAATTTCAAATTTTAGCATTACTGCATTGTTAAAAAATATAAATAAACGATTTTCTATTCATAAAAAATCCCTTTACCTCCATCGGAAGTGCTATTCGAGTCTTTAGAATTCAAGGCTGCGTTGAAGACAATGACCGTAGAATAGTACCGTGTGTTATGTTGAAGGACTACTTCAGAACAAGAATGTCTTGTATTATGTGATATATTATGAAAAGTCACTACATTGTCTTTCCCCGGGAAAGTTCCAACACCCCAACGAAAACTGTGAAAATTAACAAGTTGCTAACTGGTGTAAAATTGACGCAAAATTGATAAATATACTTTAAATATATAGTTTCTTTTTTAAAGCATTGATAATGCATATTCTTTAACAAAGATAATGTATCTTTTCTACATTTAATTCAGTTGATTTGTTTGAAATTACCAATTCCATGTTACTAAGCAAATAACGTGTGCATAAATCAACTTACTGATCAATGCCTGATTCTGGATCAAAAAATCCTTTCCACTGGGCACATATCTCTTTGTAAGTGGATTGATAAGTCAAGTCATAATGTATAACATGACCATCAAGCACTTGACCAGCTACAGGAGGCGATCTGTCGATCAAAATTGGCTCAGGACCACTCTCAGCTTTAAATAATCCAACTAGAAAATAAAATTAAAAAGAAATGTATTGCAAGCCCATAATTGGTAAAAAAAAAATCAAGGCAACATTCAGAAGATTTAAATGCTTTTTATGTGTACAAAATGTACATTTGATACGAACAAACTTCAATAAATATTAAGATATATGATATTGACGGAAAAGAAAGGTGTTTAAAAAAAAAAAAAAAAAAAGCAAAGCACCTCCGTTATCAACTCGCACTCTAGGCCATGCTGGAACACCCTCTTCTAAGTCAAGTTCTTCTATGACGATGTAGGGAGCATCTTCCCCGCTCATTGGCTCGTGATATGAATATTTTCTGACAAGAACGTCATATTTTGTTTTTCCAAGTCCGAAATCTACACTCCGCAAAAATGACTCGTTGTCGCCTGCCTTATAGTATATACCAAGTAAGTCGAAGTGTTCATCGAAATAGATTTCACCAACACTATTGAAGAAAGGTGGCGTTGTATCCACTGTTAACGGGGTAGTGTGACAAACTGTTGTCACCAGAGAACCACCAAATACCACATTATTGAGACATTGAACCGTCATGAAGTATTTTCCATCCTAAAATATAAAAGAAAAAACATTCATGAAAGTAGGAATACAAATTTTCGAAGACTGAAAAATTGATTATATCTGTAAGATACAGGTTTTTAAAGTAGTTTATTTTATTAATTTTCAATCATGAATCCATACTTGTAAAAACATGTTTTTCTCGTATCCACTGTGTGTCCAGTGCTTTGAACTGTGAAGAAATCCGTGTGGATCTCTAAAATTGACCACGTCTTCATAACAAACTGCCCTCCCAGCCGCCCAAGTATATTGGTAAATTCCACTTTCATCATCATGGAAGCCATCGAAATTGACTACAACATACACATTCAGGACATTATAAAATAGGCTTTTTTCTCCTAGCAGAGATAATTGTATTCCTGATACATGCATGCTTTCTGGAACGCCGTTACTGCTGCCAATGACGATTTAGATTATGGGATATTTGTTATCACTTTGGAAATTGTGTGATACTTTGTCTCCAATGAATACATCTTTCAGTTTTTTAAGCCATTGTTCATGAAAGGCAATATGTGCTAAGCCATAAAACAATTTTCCACTCCTTATTGATATTGATTGTAAAGTCACTTAGACTCTATTTTAACATTACAATACTGTACATGTACAAATTCAACATAAAAAATACCTGATATATAGTGATTGGATCTTGTGTACATTTTATCCTTTAGAGGTGTGTGCCCATTAAATATTGTCGTGGCTCCTTTCCCGTCAATAATATGTCTAAAATACACAAATAATGCTGCTTGAAAAAAGGAAAAATGGTTTTTATGTACGTTTTCAAAAAAGACTTGTTTGATAGATTGTCGAAATGTCTCTTTCATTTCAATTTTTATATATACATAAGTGTTTAAATAATATCATTTCCTATCATGATCACCATTGTAAAATAAGTCAGTATTCTCCCTATTATTTATTTGTTCAGAATCTTCAAAATAAATTTTCAGACATATTTTTACTGATGTATTGCCTATCATATTTTATAAATTACCGGTGGTTTTTCTTCCACGTTACTTCAACACAACGCTGCGCAACCGAAGCATTGCAGCCATCTGCTGAAAATGTCTCTTGGTAATGCGTTCCCAGGGACCCAGTGCTCGGTGGAGAAAAATCAACCATTGTTCCGTATGATTGGAGAAATCCAACATATCCAAGAACATTAGTTATCCTTGCATTGAAAAAATACATCATGCCGTGTTCCAAAGAAATATTATTATATCTCTCATAAGAATTGTACCCAACACCGAGTCTTTCATAATTAGCATATGCACCACTCATTCTTAACATTGCATTTGGGCTCTCTACAGCATTTTGCAGCTCACAGGATTCTGTGGCAAAATTGTAGTCAAATGAAACGCACTGCTGTCCTGATTTAATACATTGAGTCGCACAGTCTTCAGGAGTATGGGCACTGTTCACAGAAAATGGTATACTTGTTAGTTTGCCATTTTTGGGAACACTGAAATGCTTCAAGTTGCCTGTAATTCCTGTTCGCAGTGTTGTAGATCCAAGTGTGAGATCTTTCCAAGGCACAACCTCGCTTCCGTACTTACCGGAGCTATAACCCAATGCATGGCTATGAATCTGCTTTAAATCAGAATCATCAAATACAGAAATTGTAGCAGTCAAAACATTTGGATGTGAGCTAAAGAGATACGAGGGATCAACACGGCCATCTGGTAAGGTGTTGTCGTATGTGTGGAGCATGCAGTACACTCTGGCATCAGTGCCTTGGGTGTTTACAGCTTTTACAGTCCAGTATAAAGGTACTCCATTAGGCAAGTCATTTGTCGCAACTAGCACTGAAAAGCCTCCCATTTCTGTAAAATCTACAACATTGGTTCCGCCTTGTTGTAATCCAATAGCATAAAATATCTTCAACTTGCTCTTGTCATCGTCTGCAGCAATTTGTAATTCATATGCAGTGTCATTATGATTTCGCCCTGAAATTTGCTTGATGATGCATTTGTCTGTAGTTTCTCTTTTTCTTCGACTGGTTAAACCAGGTGATACAAACTCAGGCGGAGATGTGTCTTTTTCGTCCTTTATATTTGTGAAAATATTGGCTGATATAGGTTGTACGGCAAATGTCCACATTGTTCCACGAAAAATTGTTAGGGTAACATTGTAACATTTTCCTGCTAAATTGCAGACTTTAAAATCTAGCATGCAGTATGCATCCAGTTTAAGACGTAATGGTGCAAGTGTCAAATCCAAGCTTCCTCTAAAAACAAAACGTTTTTATAGATATGTCAGTTAATATCAGGAATCAGTATATATCTTACTCCATGCCCCCATTGCTTTTTAGACATGTCTATCGTTAAGTATTTGTACAATTTACCAAGGCTTATATTATAAATGCATGTATCTGTATTATTATCAAAATTATAAAATTTGAATTTATCATGTTCAATTTAACCTTGCAATATTTTAATACATCTTTTCATCTAAGGGATTTATTTTCTTATAATAAGTAGATGCAGGAGATTTATTAAAAACATTTCAAAAGTTTTTGGACTTATTTTACCATTAAACTGTTTTTTAAATCATATTATTCGTCAAACATTGGAATAAATGAAACATATGCAGATAACGGACAGTGTTCAAGATCAGGAGTCCCTAAAACAATACAAAATAGTAGCAGAGCAAACAGAGACCTATAAAACATCAGAGGTGGAATCAGATACCATAGAGGAGTAAGCATCCCCTGCCGACCGGTCACACCAGCCGTGTGCTCCTTGTCATGATCAGGAAATAACGGGAAAAATCCGTCGTGAATTCAGTGTATAAATAATGGACTAACGGTAAGTATGAAAAAATAAAAGAATAAAAATAAATTTTAAAAAAGGTAAATTTTTGAAATAAAAATTTGTAATATAGATAAATGCGTTAAATCGAAATATTTCAAAACCTTGGAAACCCAATGCAGAGAATGGCTATATAAAGGGTGTTAAGAAAGTTCGCTTTTTTTATGATATTTAATGTTTACAGAGTCCATTCTTGCTAATATTTTAACTGTCTAGTTTTTCCAAAAAATTATCTGTTATATTTAGCATACAGGTCAAATACAAATTCTCTGAAAAATCATTTCTTAAAAATTTCAAAATGACAAAACTATTCTTTTAAAAAGTGAGTGTCTTTACCTAATCAGCTTGTCTAATGCAGACATCGAAAATTGGAAACCCAATGCAGAGAATGGCTATATACAAATCATGCTCAGCTTAAAAAAATGTGCCACTTCATAAATCTAAATCGTAGTGAAAAACTTACCTTACATCAAGAGGAAACTTATTATATATTATTTCTGCTGTGAGTGGAAATCGTGCTTCTAAAAGGTGTCCAGTAAGTCTTATTCCCGCTTTAAATATGAAGTACCCTACATATGCTCCGCCCCACACTTTAGCCCCGGACCAGGGGGTTAGTATTCCCTATTTGATAAACATATACATTAAATAAAAAATATAGAAATAGAATCAATTTATATTATTTCATATATTAAAAATATGTAAAATTTTTATTTATGTTTCTGATAGTAAGAAAAGAAAGTTTGACAAAAAATGAGGTATTTTCTACTTACTTTTACATTACAATTCTTTATGCAAAGACCCACGTGTATTCTTAGCCCAACGGATGCGGCAGCTCCAAGCTCTTTGTGCAACAAAATATTTTTTTTACAACTTTTAAATGTAATTGTGAATTAAAAAAATCCACGTCTGAAGATTTTATTTAAATAAATGGTTTAACTAGTTATCTGTTGGATTTATAGCAATAATCGAGTTTCATAAAATCAACTGATGTTATCAAATTAATCATTTTGTTCGACAACTTTAAATATCTATATACTTTATTTCTAATTTCTTTTCTCCAAAATCAGTACAAGTCAAATATACAATCAAACATACCGAAGTATATTGGAATAGGGCCAGCCATAATAGGCCCAAATGTTGCATTAGCAATTAAAAAATCGCCTGTTGGAAATGGCACATCTACTTCTTCGCAAAAGTCTATCTTGTTTTTGAATTCCTTCCCCAAGATTTTCAGAATAGTCCGAGGATCGTTGATTAACTTAAATAAACATCAATGAACAATCATCATCAATATTCTACATGGCTGTCATCTTTAAAAAAAACTTATGCTTTTAAACCAGTGAGAATTCTAAATATTTCTTTTACAAGAGGAAAGTAATATTAACAAATTTTAACAATATTCACCCACCTGCTCCATCATAGCTTCTCTTATCGTGTCAATTACTCGCAGAATGTCCTGATCGAGTAGATGATGCTCCGAGAGCTCTGCTATGAAATCCTGCACTGTTATGCTATCCATAGATGGTAACTTGCTGTTACTTCCGTCCTCTGTTGTTTATTTTATTAAAAAAAAAAGAGAACAAAACAAATGCAGTAATTTCATGTCATTTAATAAAAACGGAATCATTTAAGACTCAATAAGATATGGCATGAATTTGGTCTGGAAATCAAATGCTATAATGGCGTTTTAAAGATTTCATCATGTACCAAACTCGTATCATATCTCATTAAAATGCTAGAAATATTTGTTTTATTTCATATATGTATATATTTAGTTTGACTTGTGTTTAACCATAAAGATTTCGCACTCTTTAGAATCAATTTTGGAAATTCAACGTTTATATATGTTCAACTTCGAATGCCAGTGCAGTCAAGGACTTCCGATTGTCTCGTTTCGTTTGCTTTTCGTACTCAAGAAAGAATGATTACTTGATCGACTTGAGGTATTGTCATTAAAAGATGAAGATTGACTAATGTAAATTTATAAATAAAAAAATATTTAAAAGCAAAAATCATATCTCGTATACTAAACCAAATTTCAACCATAAAATTAAAATTCTAATCGAGATTTTCAGATTCATTTGTTAAAATTGATTTAAAAAATGAAGTATGAGATCCCATTAATATTTGGGTAATGATAGTATTTTCCTATAGTTTACAAATCGAAAATGTTAATTTTTTCCTTTAATAGTATAGATAGTATTCTTGATATTATGATTTTTCATTGTATAAAAAATCTTTTTATGGCTATAATGAGAAAATGTTCTCATTCACGAAAGTGTTCATAACACACTGCATTTTCTATTTTTGTCTAACCTTGAGAACAGGTAGTGTCGAGTTCGTAATTCAATAACACTGGTACAATATGAAGGCATGAGATAAAATCGTTCACGCAAAGTTCTGCAGAGATGGAGATGATTGGTGTAGACCAGTCAAATGAGATCGATACAACAAGGTTGGCACTCATTAATGTAGATACATCTACTAGAGAGACTCTCTGTTCTATGTCCGCACCTAGAACGAAACATGATAATTCAACGATATTCAAAAAGTAATGATAATCCACAGACATACCTAAAACAAAACATGCTCTTTTACTCACCATCTTCAAAAGATATAATAACTGTCTTGGAGCGAGATTTCAATGTTATTTGTTTTAAACATCCATCCATCTTGATATCAACGGTGGCCATAAATTTGTGAGTTGCATGAGAAAGTAATACAGCACAAGAAATTTCATTGCAACTCCGATGAACAAAACAAACATTTCCGGGGCCTTTGGAGAGTCTGTTTTGAAACATTGGGCAATCTACAAGAAGTAACATTAATTATTCAAAATATATACCTTGCAATGAATATTGATATTACAAAACAGTCAATTTCGCGTAAGTTCAAATTATTTATTAGTCTATCATTATTAGTTTATTCATTAGTCTTTTAAGTCTTTCCGTATTTTTAATCTTTAAAGAATGTATTACTGAACCCTTTAGAGCACAACATGAAGGATTTTGGTAATAGCATATAAACCTGATGCGTTGACATGTATCGTCATCAATGATGCTATATTAGGCAGTATTATGAATTTTTAGCTAAGATGAAATCGTTTTTTTAAATATAAGTACTTTATGCTGACAAAAAATTGTAATAAGCTTAGTTTATCAAAAATCTAAATTTTTCTCGATTTAACGTTCACTTTACTTTATTGTTATTCTTTACAAACCATTTTCCGTTTTTGAAAGCACTCTTGATATCATGTTTGACTTTGACCCAGTCACTGTGTTGAATGAAATGGAGAGTAGAGAACGGAGGTCTGATATTGATAATCCATCAAGATTTTGAGCAGTTATTGAAGAACGAAGCTCCATCAGTTTATCAAAAATAACTTTCATTTCCTCTCCAACTTTCTTTCCGAGAAGTTCTTTTATTCTTCCGAGTGTGTAAGAATTAACATCCACAAGGTCAAGAAGATTGGGTCCAGTTCTGAAATTATTTACAACAATACAGCAAATTTGATAAGGTACGACTTAGTCATGCAAGAATGAGAGATATCTTTTCTTCATTATCCCCGACTTTTATTGCGTTTAATTTCAAATTCTTTTCTCCGCTTTCTTGGTCATGCTCGATATTTAGATATTATTTAACTTGAATGGCCAAATGTATAATCTTCTGCAACGTAAAGATTAAATTCTAAAAGTCAATTCCTTTCATAAATTACCTGTTGCCTGAAAAATCAAAAAGCTGTTTGGCTATGTCTTTGAAGCCTGAAACTAGTCCTTTGAACCCTTCTTTAAATTTGTCCCATTGAGCAACAGCGGCTGGATCGTCAGGAGTTGCAACTTGGAACTCGGGAGGACGATAATTTGGTTGTTCAGGGGGAAACTGATTGCCAAGATCATCACTTCCTTCGATGCGCAGTCGAGACAGTTCCTCTTCTACTTTTTCAATTCCTTCCTCAGCCTTATCAACGGCATCGGCTGCGACGACACTGATAGCATTAATGTAGGTGAAATCTTTGCAATCCCAGATCCACTCTGGTGTTGGGACCAGGTGATCTAAGAACGGAGACGGGTCTATATATTCAAAGTCAGAATCCTTTGTTTCAACGGAAGACCTTTTTCGAACAGAAACATGGATGCTGTTGTCATCACAGGGTGATCTATCGGCTTCTCCAATGATATCCTGACCTGCTGAAAGAAATTGACCACCATCTGCGATCGAGGTGTTTGGAATAATATTTTCAATAACTATCTCATATTCGACGAAATCAGCGTCTGTAGGCAAAATCGTTACTCGTTTCGTTTCCCTGGTAACCTTGCCATTTAGTGGGCATAATATCTGCAAAACATATAGACTGTATTGATGGAAGTTTCTACAGATCAAACACTACTCATTATATTCGCCTATTTCAACATATCAATAAGGTTATGAAGCCCCGTTTTCTTTATTAGAATCCAAGAAGTGCGCTTTTCTGGATAATGAATATTATTTTTAAAAAAAGACCAAAATCGCTGTAAGATGATCTTGCCTTCGTCTTATAAGACACCTGCACATCAACTCCTATTGTCTGATATCTGTTGTTGGTCGTCGTTGGGAAAACGCCAGCTCCACAAGTTGAATCTTCACTTCTCCGTCGATTGGGGAATGTAATATGAAACTTGGATCCGAATATCTTTTGAACAATGTTCTTTACTTTCATAAATCTATTAAATAAACGGTTTGCCATTCTATTGCTAATATCTGAATATATGACGAACATGATTTGCAAACATTATGGAGCAGATATTTTGATATTCTGTTCTTTGTAAATTCATACAAATTGTATATTTAAAAAATAGAATCTCTTACATGTCTCTGACAGCTGTGTAGGCTGCCTTGATTGCTTTAACTGCATTTAAGACAGACTGGAAGGCTTTCAAAAAAGGTTCTACTAATTCCATCAAAGTTTCTTTGAATTGAGCTGTAACCTCTCCAAACGTCTTTTCAATAATCTCGATGAATATATTACTTTTTTCTTTCTAGAAAAAAAAAATCCAAACTTTTGCGAAAATTACGAGAATTTTCATTAAAAAATTTCGAAAATAAGACGAGTTGTTCTGTAAAATATTAAAAATCGTAGTTTTTCTGCCAAGCAATGCAGTTTCATTTACCGTTGTTGAAATGCCATCTGTCAGTGCTGTAGAAAATTCATTGTCAAACTCGGAGGTAGTTTGACTTTCTTTCTTATCAAATAGAAGTCGAAATAAATCCTGGATGTCTCCCCAAATCTCCTGAAAATCCTCCCAATAGTCTACCCAAAATGGCGTGCCACCTGTTGTTGAAGATGCATTTTATTGTAATTAATGAACGTGATATAAAAAACCAAAAAATTTAATCCATTCATATAACTGGCATGACATATTCTTTGTTAACATTTGATTAAAATTGCAACGTCGTATTGCAAGGTATTGCAAGTTTTATGTAAGAATATGCATTTAAAGTATCAAAAAGTTCTTTTAAGAATTACCTTTCAGAAAGGATAGTTGTTCTACAATTCTGTTTTTCACGTCCAGAAACATTCCAATCGCAAGTTTTATACTGTATCACAACAAAAATAACAGATAATTTCAGTGACCATAAATTTAAATACAAAATAAAACATGACTTTTTAACATTATAAACAACAATTACCAATACATAACACATTAAGAAGGCACCAAGAAAGCAAATTTTTTTAAACCATAAAATAAAATCTTTCAAAAAATACTGGTACTTAAAAGCATGTGTTATTAAAAGTATATTTCGTGATTTGTCCTTAGATACCTTTTCTGTCGAAAGATGGAGTTGTGTTTTCTGTCACAGGATTGTAAAATGTCCTCCCACACAAATCGTGGAAGATCATTCTTATACGTAAATATGCAGCATTATAATTATACTCACTCTAACACACATTTTCCGAACTTAGTTACGGACTGTACCGGATCTGACAAGAAATTCCTCACCACCCAAAATATTGTTGCCACAGTATCCATCAGTTTCTTCCCTATGTAAGGAAGTGTCACTGTGATAGCATCAGCAATGGTCTGGAAATACGTAAAATATACCAACTAGTGTATTCTAAAAAGAAGGGGTGGGGTAGGGTGGGGTGATGATTTGAACAAATTTTAATTTACTCTACATGATATTTTAAACTTTTCTGGCCCGGTAGTTCTTGAGAAGAAATTTAAATGATGCTACTGAGTTTCTAATAATTCGTAATAATCTCCTTATGAAGAATGGAATGACCAAACAAACTTCAATTTATCCAAAGATGCTTTTAAGCAAGTTTGGTTGAAATTGGCCCAGTGGTTGTGGGGGTCAAAAATGTAAATGTTTGCAGAAGAACTTCGGACACAATATGATAATAAAATGCTTTCTGCTCAGGTGATCTAAAAATAGCCATTATTAAAAATCAAAATAATCAGGTTTGTTTTTGGTTTACTTTAAATACAATGTTTCTGTTGACGAAAAGAAAGCTTTCAAATTTTCTAACATCTGGTGGAAACATTGCAATGAGGAGATAACAAAGTAAAAAAAACATCATAAAAATGTCCTACTTACATTGTAAAACTGTGTAACATCTTCTTTAATTTCTTCTATAAATAATCTTGTCTTGGTAATTATCTTCTTTATTTGATCAATCCAAGGGACTCCTCCATATTCAATAACTTTAAGGATTGCTTTGATGGCATTTTTAATGATAGTTTTTAAAATGATAGGTAGTTTCTTAACTAATTCTATGATTTTATTGACAATGTATTGAATACCATTGCCCTGCATACGATTAACAATACTTTCAAAATTCTTAATGACAGTTTTTACTGGGTCGACAACTGATTTGATTATTTTGTCGAAAACCAAAACCAAGTCTTGGATACCATCAACTCCAAGATCCTAAAATACAAAATGTTGGATAATGATCAACAGGGAACTACGCTTCTATTCTTACAGTTACTTAAATTTTTGTTTTTCTTCATCCAATTTTCAGCAAACAAAAAGTTGCCTTTTTTCAGTGCGTTTTTCTCTTTCGTTTAACAACCCAACTAACCTTACATAAATTAGTTACATTTCTCTTGATCAAAGGGATGAAAAATTATTCCATTCGGAAAAAAAAATGAAATTCCTTTTTTCAATAAAAACTTTTGTGGAAGAGCATCGTACCTTTAGAACATTGACGTCATATCCGGCATGTCCTCTGTAGCACACAAAAGCACGAAACAGATACTCGTCAATTTCCAGCCAATCAATCGTGACTTTTGCGTAAGCATCGTCATAAATATCCAATAAGGCGTATGCACTTAGGGGCTCTAAAAATTAACGTTTTATTGATAATGCATGCATTACATATCTACAAATGCACTTATCGCTTAATCGGTTTAAGAATTGTGTCAAAGATGTTTCTCAATCTTGTACTTCAGATAAATATATTACATACTTATTTCTAGTCGTAACTCATTCCTCAATTCAAGTCCAAATGTGGCTCCAAGTGAGCTTTTGCCGAGCTGCTTACTCCATTGTACACCAGGTAATTTAAGAGAAAATAGGAAACCGTCTATTCCAGCTTGCAGCTTCAGAATTCCTCTTTTAATACGCATTAATGTTTGATATCTATAGTCCCGTCTATGATGGAAATATATAGATATAAAATATATACATATATATATAACTAAGCAAACATACATTTTCTTTCTCCAACATAATGACATATTTGTTGGTTAAGAAATAAGGTTTACTGAACTTATTAAGATAACAAGAGGTCTAAGGGCCTAAAAGGTCACCTGAGTATAATACAACTATTTAGAGGATCCATAGAATATAAAATAAACTAATAGATGAAGCTTTCAAACAGCATGATCAGGGGTCATGTAATATACAATTTTGGAAGAGACACTCTTGCTTATCATAACTATGTACTTAGTTTGTTTAATATCTAGGAACAGAGAAGATTTTCAAAGTAATAATGCTTTTTCACTATATGATCAATAGAGCCACGCCTTACACAAGAATCTCTTACACTGGGGCCATGAATTTACAATTTTGGTAGAGGGCTCAGTGCTTATTACAATCATGCTAACAGTTTGAATCCTTGATGTCCAGGAGTGAAGAAGATTTTTGAATATTGCATTAATTTTGGTGGTTTGGCCACATCCCAAGGACCCTGAAATTCATAAATTTTGTGTCCCTTTACCCCTAGATGCTGTATACTAAATTTGCTTTAAATTGATTCAGTGGTTCCAGAGAAGAAGCTAAAAATGTTCAAAAGTTTACGAACGACGAACGAAGTATGACGTACAACGACGGACGAAAACGGATAGCAATGGGTCACCTGAGTGACTCAGGTGACTTAAAAATGGTATGTGAAGCGAATAAAGGGAACTTGTACAATTATCTTTCTTGTTTTTACATTTTCCAAATTTATAAATGTTTATAGGACCGCAATAGGAATTGTTTAGGAGTAAATTTTAAAAACTCTTCTCGAGAAAAGCCATGCCATGATGAATAATATGGAAGCAATTTCCTGTAGAGTAGACTCAGTATTATTATTAATTTAAGCTATAGTGATGGCGAAGGACGATGGTACAAGGTTTAATCATTTATCCCATAGAAATTAAGTTAAAAATAACCCCTTCATGTTTTACCAACAGAGAAGTCCTAAATTAATATGTAAATAAAATACAAACAACATCAGACTCACGTGAATATTATTTTTCGTTTTCAATATACCTCAATATGATATCCCGATGCTGTGAAACACTTTTCTTTGATAAAGGATGTTTTTCAAAATGTTCCAATGCCTGCTTTCGGACTATGGTATGTTCATCGTTAACGGCCAATTCAAGTAAAGAAGTAGAACTCTAAGCAAAGCGGAAAAAGAAATTTCTTAATGCAAGAGCATCACACTTTTGCAGACACAGGGAAAATCATTTTATATAAGTATTATTAAAGACAAATGGTTGAAATACCTCTACACAATTAAAGTGCCTCATTCCTAAAATAGCTGCCCTTCTCCAGCTGTTGTCTCCTTCTCCGGGCTTCATGTATGTTAACAGGTGGTCTCTGGCACTCCCCGAGTTCCCCAGAGTGTGAATCAACACCATTTTTGAGTAAGTATGATTATGGAGTTTTCTATCAAATTTGTCCACTGAGCGACGTTGTCTTCGTTCTCTGTACATTTCTTTGTAATTCGCTGATTAAGAAATTTTTGTTATGATTAGAAAAAGTGTTTTGGTTTTATTACTGATATAATGATTCGTCTTTGAATTCAAATTAATATGTTGGTGTCTATGTTAAATTTAATTGTATTTAGCTTCTGTCTGCTTTATTTCATTCAATATTTTTTCAACAAATATCTCATACAGATATGTCTTTAAATGTTTTTTTACGTTAACTAAGCCGTGTTTATTTCTTTAAAAAAATCGAGTCATTGCCAAAATCTGGAACATAGCTCTATAAAGATCGTGGTTTCAAACGGATTAATATTAAAAAAAAAAAAACAACAACATATATGCTTTCAATTTCTAGTGATATATCATTCTTAAATAGATTAATTTTTTGTTTTTTACTTTGGTTATGTGGGGACAGCCACTTCTTCAGTGAATCCAGAAGATGATCTATTTTTTCACTATGCTGCTTATTGTTTCTATAAGTTTTTATCAATGTCCCTAGCGCCAAGCAAGCATACTTTTGCTTTTTCGTCATGGCGATTGTTCCTTCCAAAAGCATAAAAAATAAAGAAATAAAATATAACCATTTAAACTGAATATTTTCCATATCCACATCATTTTACGTTATTCTTTTAAAACATGTCCAGTTATACCTATGTTTGTTTGATTCTGTCCCAGGCATAGCTCTTCAACAGCCTCTAAAAATACCTGGAGAATAACAAGTTATATGCACAAAATTATTTTCAAAAAAGGAATAAATACCTACAGAGGAAATTGTACAAAAATACATGTCAAAATGTTATTTCTTAATTTGACAAATTACCAATAAAGGATGTTTCAAGTCCGAGATATGGAAAAATATCCGAAAAATAACTGTTTCGTTGACATTTTTGTCTTTTAAGAAATGTTGAATGATTAAATTCTGTGTAATATTCTGCCCCTCTTTCAATAAAAGATCGATGAATATATTTTTTCTGTTAATGCACAATTTGTCATTAGATTGACATTTTCTAGAAAGCTCTCTCGTGGCTAGTTCCTCGTATCCGTCTTTCTGGAGGCGCTGGGTTAACTGTAAGAGGTGTGCAAAACAATCCATTCTATCTCTGTGAACTAAAATAAATATAACCAATAAATCATACTAATTGTTAAGCCATTTTTCACATGCTGAATTGTCGATGGATTTTTTCGTTATTTCCTGACCATGACAAAGAGCACAAGGCGTGCGTGACCGGTCGGCAGGGGATGTTCACTCCTCTATGGTACTTGGTCCCACCTCTAATGTTTTAGTCCTTTTAGTCCTTGTTTTCACTTCTCCTAATTTGAACTTGTATAATGAACAATAATCAAACTCAAAAGTTCCTTAATCAAAAACATCAGGAACAACACGTGCCTCTAAAACCCCAGAAGTGGGATCAGGTGCCATGGATGAGTGAGCAAGCTGACCGGTCATACTTGACGTTTGCTCCTTTTCATGATTGGAAAATAAGCGGAAAATCCGTCGAGAATTCAGTTTGTAAGAAATGTCCTCACAATAAGTATGAAAAACGTCAATCAGCATTTGACTCATGATAAATTGTATGTGCTAATGAAGTCATTATATTCCATCAAGCTTACGAAATGATGATTTTAATCGAGACTGCTGATATTCTTGTATCATCAACGTGTTTGTCAATAACTTACCTCATATAAGGTAATTTGAAAAAAGGTTTTATTCAGCGGGAAAAAAATAAAGGAGAAAATCTTCAGTGGGATAAATATAAGTTATCATAACAAAAATAGTGTTGAAAAATATCCAAATATATTTATTTTTTTTTTGTAAACAATTTGCATAGATGATATCACTAAGTCAATATTTATCTTACGCAACATGGGGAGAAAAATGTTCGATATGTTGTCTCTCATCCCTTTTATTTTTACCATTTTTAAAACGTCAACTTCAGGACCAATGCATTAAAAATATAAAAGAAATGATATACAAGTATATAATAGAATATAAAATAAATTACCTTCATCATTGTATGACAAGATACAAGACACATTCGTTTCAATATATTTTTCAACTTTTGATAAACTGGTCTTTTCTGGTTTTTGCTGTAAGAAAATCACAAGAACAAATGTTATTGGAATTCAAAATTCAAAAATGCATCATATAGAATATTTTAACAAAGGAATTTTTTTACCCTTTGAACAACTATACTGTCTTTCACTTTCAAATGATTGTGTAGTGACGGAATTGCAGACGCTTTGCTAAGGTCTCTAGAAAATAAAAAGAGTGAGAATTTAAAAAAAAGATCGTTTTATCAATACATACTATGAATTTCATTCATAATTAATATTTCTCTACATATTGGCATTAAAATTAGCTTTGAATCATTTCAATTTGCTATTCGTTTCTTATCTTCTCTTTGATGTGAAAGTTTGTCCTTCACTAAACAAGATTAACTCTCAATTCCTATTTTTTTTTTAAATAAATAAAGTTTGCCATTTGTTCTCGAAAAGAAACGAAAATGTGAAAAATCAACAGACAACAAACTGACAACAGTAAAAAAAAACCATAAATAGGCAAACATTAGCCTTCAGTTCAGTGGAGCTTCAACAATATATATTTTATTATGTTTGAATGTTGTACTAAATATAAATATCTTACACTCTGCTGATGAGCTTCACTTCCGTGGACGTGCTTGATTCAATATCTTTCAATTCTTGGAATAGATTAAAATTAAGATCATTCACTTGAAATAGAACAATGTTTCAAAAAGTTATATAAACAAAATCATATATTAAAATCAAATAACGGACAAGGGCCAAAAAAGACAAGTTTAAAACTTGCTGAAGGATCTGAGAATAATTTAATAAATTGCTTATTCCCCAAATAATACTTAATTAAGATTTAAAGAATTCTGATTTGTAATAAGCACGCTTTTATCTATGCTGCATTTACCCCCAGTTGTTTCTTCTTCGATTTCTTTTTTGACTGGAATAGAGTACCTGCGGTAAAATTACGTAATTTCAAAATAAGACAAAATAAATTGTCAAAGACAAGAATCATAAAGACATAATTGTAAATTTAAAAAGGAAATAAAAGAAAAAATTATAATTTTTTTTAATTAAAAGACATTAAATTGATCAATATGCTTCTTTAAATTATATTACAGTAAGTATAAGCATCCCTGCTCCTAATAATTTATAAACTTACCAAGCAAGTTTATTACCCCTTCGTCGATTGACATTATATTTTAAAACATGGTTCAGTGGTTTAAGAGAAGAAGCTGAGTTCCTTACAGCGAATTATGAAATAGTGGTAACGTTTTCAATAGCTTGATGGATAGCTCAATAGAGTATTTAATTTGGTCTAACAAGTATTACATTAGGTTTGAATCTACGTCACAAGGTTATTCAGCTGTATCATTAGATTTTACAGGTAAATGTGAGTTGATTTCAATGTTGTTTGAAGCCACATGTATATGCCAAAGTGTTCTGTTGTAAATAAATGCAATACTTTTCTTAAATTGCAAATATTTTTTGCAGAATTAGTGAATGACAGCCCCCTTTTCAATTCTTCCAAAAGGTATTGTTAAACAAAGTCAGGAATTAGCTCCCACAGCAATTTCTATCACTGTATGGATTATAAATAAACAGTCGCTTAAATAGAATAATATTAAATGTAAAATAACACATGTAACATGTATTGAATTATAAATTATGATGAACATGTCAACACCCAGCAAATTTCTCTATTCATTTCTGTTACTCTCTGAAATACGTAAAATTTTTACTTGATTAAGAGTTTGTTTTTCAAAAGAACTTACGGGTACTTTTGCTATTTATTTATTCTTTACATTGATTTAATTCTTATTTTATTCTTTTACATTTAAAAAAAATTGTAAGTTAGAGGTAATTTTTTTAAAAGCAAAATCTCATAATTTAAGATTTTTCAGCAATGAGAGTTAAGAACATTTAGTTTTCATTATATAAATTATTTTTAAATTCTTAAATTTTAATATGGGTTTTTATGTTGAAAGTAACAAGACTTTGAATCAATTTAAAAAAGAATAGTATACAGGATATTTATGCATTACTGAAGAGCTAGAAAATATATTTGCTGAAATATATTTGCAATTAAAGAAAAATATTGCATATATTTACAGCATAACACTTTGACATATACATGTGGCTTCATACAACATCGAAATCAACACACATTTACCTGTAAAATCTAATGATACAGCTGAGTAACCTTGTGACCTAGATTCAAACCTAACACTGTAATACTTGTTAGACCAAATTAAATACCCTATTGAGCTATCCAGCAAGCTATAGAAAACTCTACCACTACATGTATTTCGTAAATCGCTGTAAATTGTTTATGACCGACATAAACAAACGATGCCTGACGACGAACGAAAACAGACAGTAATAGGTTTCTTGTCCTCGTCTATCATTTACTAAATTTCTAATTAATACAACATACGTAACAAATAGTTACCTTGTTTCTGGGGGTTTATTCTTATTTTTGCTTCGAAGAATAATTTTATCATCAGCTTTCACGTACTCTATAAGACCAGCGTGACTATAATGTAATGTCTGAAAAATTACTTTTATATTTTATTTTTGTAATTGTGTACCATTTGTAATAAAATGAAGTCGAAGCATCTGGAAACGAAAAAGTGCTTGATTTTTGTCTAGAAAATTTTATTTGATATCGAGATTTGAAAAGTAATTCACAGATTTTGGGATTTATTAAACCATCTTTTTATCAGTGAAAAAAAACAGTAGTAAGTTGATCAAAATAGGTGCAAATAAATATTTATTCATGAGCAGTACTTAACTTTTTAAACTTTTCATGTATAAAGTAAAGGACGATTGTTGAATATAAATGCACTTGACAAAGTTTGTTTTCTCAGCAAAATTCAAAACAATTCAAGCACTTTTACTGAACGACAATACTAATAATATTATAATCATAATAGTCACAGTTCCTTTGTTTTAAAATTTGGTTAACATTATCATCCTGCAGAAAAATGCGAAGGAATCTTTGTCAAACAGTTGCTAGTAATTATCTTTTATGGATGCATACTATTTAATCTATAACCTGAAAATTAATTTACCTTAGCGTGTTTTCTGTAGACATGGTCCTTGCTCTCATGAAACTTGTTTACTCTGTAGCCTGATGGAGTTGTGTGAACGGTATACTGATGTTCCAGATAACCTTTAGAATAACAATTCCATTTTAAAACATATTCATATTTAGAAAGGTTCAATTAATTGATTGCTTACTTTCAAATAAAAAGTTCATAAAATATCAAAATGTTCATATAGATGTGGTTTTATTTTAAAATTAGATGAAACAAACCTTGTCATGAGGATTAGAATGTATACTTCAGTTTTGTAGAAAATGCCAGATCATAATTAATTAGCATTTACCTGCATGGTCGTGCTCCCAGTTCTTAAACTTCTGTTTGCCATTATGGTCATACTTTAATAAAATGATATTTATTTCTTATCATGTCGATTACCACAATTACATGTTTCCTTTATGATATGAATTTTAAAGAAAGATGCAATAGTATGTCTGATTATGTTTTTTTTATGTTAATATGTAACTTTTGTCACATGACAATGCCATTATAGGTTAGATGCTCACACTCAGCATTGCGATATCACATCAAAGACATGTTAATTAATTTTGTCATTCTATGTAGAACGACAATACGCAAGTATCGAAATTATCTCCTTGGTGCGCTCTTTCGTTGAGGAGGAGAGTTCCGTTGCCGCGGAAACAAACAGGTGGGCCAGTTATTTATATATTAGATATATTGCATCATCGATATACTGGTTTCTAGTAAAGATGCACTTTTCAACTCGAAAATAACCGAATTAATGTAAAGGCGTCATTTTTTAAAGTAAAAAAAATCGGAACAAAAAAGAAAATATAAGTGGATGTGAGACTTTTTAGACGAGGGAAGAGAGATATGGACCTCTAATAAATACGGTACACATGCATCTGAACATTGCACGTCGGGAATTTAAATGACACATTGATTATTTTCCTTATTATAACTTCAAAGAACCCACTAACTTTTTAGAAAATGTTTGTACAATCAAGAAAATCTTTTACTTTCTATAAAGACCACTACGTTTATTTCGTTGTCAAGTACCCTATAAAGTAGATTTGTAAATATACACAGTTATACACAGTTGAGCTTGATAAAATCCTAAATGCATCATTGCTTAACATTATTATCTTTCTATAACTTTAAAAAAGCCATAAACATCGTTCATTTAATTTTGCACGTTTGTGTACAGAAACAACTTGTCCCACCTCCATGCTGAAATGGTTACGTTTCGCGCCTCTACCGTAGGAAGTTACAATCTCGAAACCCGCGTGTTGTGTAAAGTTAAATAATTATCAAGACATTTTTATATATGATAGGTATATATTTTTATAGTGGTAAATTGACGGTGTATAAGTAGAGCCACAATTTAAAAAAAAATTTCAGAAATTCGTTGCTACCAGAGAAATCTGCTAATTTCAAAAGTTCTCCCATAAAAATTACATTTCTTATATAGTGCACTAATATTTTCTAATTAAATTTTCTTTATGCAAGTATAAATGTACTAATGGCTACTTTATAAAGTCTTCGTGTGTACAGAGCGTACATGTGCATGATTACTATCGTTGAGAGTAAAAATGTCAGTTTATTTTAGGAGTTTGTTAGTTTACAATTGCAAGAGTCCCAAATATTTCTAACCTTCCCCTTTGCTGACAGCACACTAGCTAATGCCTTCTTTAAGTTGAGTACGTCAGCTGTTTCTTTATGATGATGTGCTATTTCAGTAATCAAACCATCTTCAGATATCGAAATCTCGAACCTAAATTTTACGTAAATAACTAAATATAGTTAGATAAATTACCTGGTAATAAAAGTTTTCTATTAAAAAAATACAACTATCAATGGATTTTGTGTGACCTATACAAATATTTGAACTGACGATACGTCGAGTCCTTGATACTAAGTACCAGTAAAAATTTTGTCAACACTTATTACTATGATGAGGAATTCATTAAACAAGTAGCTAACCTCATTAATCCCAAAAAGCTTCCTTATTTCATACTTATAAATGCTAAATTAAGTTTTGAAGTCAAGAGATAGAACTCTTACCAACTCTAGATTGAATAAACCAATGGAATCATTTATTGAAAATAGTAGGAAGAGAAAAAAATAAATGTTAAAGAATTTGCTAAAATTTGTATCTCTAAATCAGAATGATATATACCCATTCTTAAAGGTCCAGCCCACAGGATTGGTCTGTGCTAAAACAAAGAAAAGATAAAAAAAAAATAGTTGAAGCTGTAGACATTTTGCTTGTTTCTTGCGTTTCTAGAAGAATAATTTATCTGTTCTAATTTTCTCATATTTGGCAACAACCTAGATTTAGCTTTACTTTCTTAAACTATCCTGGCTAGAGGGCCATACAACTGACACAAGCTCACTTTTGATCTGTCTTACTTTTTAAAATGTGATAAATAATACTAAAGTGAGACTTAGATTTTAAAAAAAAACTGAGCTCATCTCAGTTTTAATTGTCCCGGAGCTAGTACGATGTCATTCAAAATTAAGAAATTTTTATCAGATATGTTAAAATTACTTCTTCCTCCTGCAGACTGGGTGAAGCTGTCCACGTGGAGGTGACAGATGAGGGATCCATTCCTCCGCTCTAACGGTCTGACGTGGAACTGAAATCAAAGATAGATATAGGAGACAGAATTAACAGTAAGAAAACAAAACACTTCAATTTCAATGAAATTAACAATGCAATATTTGCAAAAAATAACTTTGCATGTCATTTATGAAATTCAGTCTATCATATATTAAAGCATTGTTCCTTTTTCCCTATTTTTGGTGCAACTGTATGGCAAGTCACAATTTTTCAACTTTAATATTTTACTCTCAATATTCTGCTTTTAGTCATTATGTTATATTTGTTTAAGTAACTACTTACTAACTGAAGTGTCACTTTATTTCTCAAAGCACTTCCGACATGCTGTTGTTGATGTTTTAAAGGGTATTAAAAAACCCTTTCGTAAACTGCGTTTTAGTAATATCAAATGCAGACATTGATAAAGCCTTAGAAAACTGCCAGTGCAACCTTGAAAATGTTTTATTTAATTCCATAGGTTGATAAGTAGCATAATAAATATGTCCCCCATCCCTTCGATTATTTAAGGAATAACTTTAATTCTTGGTCAAATTGGTTTGGGCCAGTTTATAATTAATTACGCTTTATAATCCGCGAAGCGTATTACGAAAATCGTAAATTGACCCAAACCATGTTATATTCGAAAAATTTGGTCAATAATTAGCGTCATTCCTTATAATTTAATTTTAAAATCATTAATTAACTGTGGTTGTAAACTTTCGTTACATTTTATTAGTTCAAAGGGAAGTAAAAACTGATACTTAGACGTAGCAGCCATGCTGTTTGTTTATATGTGGTAAGATCGAGTAACTGTATAAATGTAAAGGTACATTAATTAAATCTGGAATTTTCCATGAATATGGAGGACTGGAAATGAGAGGATTGTATGGATATAAATGATTCTGCTGGTTGTCAGGGGTGTGTGCCTCTAAAGTATCAGTCACATTATGCAGCAATGGGATATACGATGAAAAACCGATGCGTATAGTATTCGGACGGTGACTGAGGTCATTTGGCGAATCGGTGGGGTCATCGGTAGAAAATAAGTAGTAGTTAAAAATCAGCGATGTCTCCCGATCGGCAACCCAGCATTAACACATTTTTATGGATTGGCCGATGTATGACAGAGCATCATCCTCGGGTGTCTGTTGAATCTGAGGTCATTGGGGGGTTGAGTGGTGGGCAACAGAAATCAGTCGATCATCGGTCGATGTTCGACCAAACATTAACCCATAGTCAACCGACGTACAAACGATGTTCACCAATGTATGAGCGATGTAATATACATCGGCCGATTACCTTGGATCGTCGTTTTATGATTAGCAATGCATCGCTTGGCCTTTGTAAGTCCGGCCCATCGCTGGTTAATGTGACTGATAATTTAATGACTACTAGGCCGATGTAGACCGATGTTTGGGCATCGCTCACACCACGGATTACCACCGATTACCACCGGTCTACGGCTACCGGCCGAGAAACGTGACTAGAGCATAAGGCATAAACTTGGTTATACAGAAATAATACGCATTCCTTTTTTTTCAATATTAACCAATGAGAGGATAGAATACAAACAAAATTAACTTATTGTAATATAATGTACATGTATATACTGGCACTCGTATTGTTGTATTTGCATTGTTTTTAGGAGGATCCTTACGTCGCAGGTATTTGAAGACGTCATTTGAATTGGAGAGTATAAGCCGAGCTCCCGTGCCACAGTTAATGCCATAAGTATCAGTCACATAATCCAGCGATGGGGTATACGATGAGAATGATATGCGTTTTTTGATGAAAATGGCGTGGTTGCCGGCCGGGCACCACTAGTGATCGGACGGTGACTGAGGCGATTTTGCGAATCGGTGGGGTCATCGGTAGGAAATAATTCGTAGTTAAAATTCAGCGATGTCTCCAACGATTCCTCACATCGCTTCTCATCGGCAACCCATCATTAACACATCTTGCACGGATCGGCCGATATATGGCCAAGCATCGTCAATTGTCCGTTGAATCTGAGGTCATCGGGGGGTTGAGTGGTGGGCAACAGATAAAAGCCGATCATCGGTCGATTTTCGACCAATCATTGGCCCGTAGTCATCCGATATTCGAAAGATGTTCACCAATGTATGAGCGATGTAATATACATCGGCCAATTATCCTAGAACATCGTTTTATGATTAGCAATGCTTCGCTGGGCCTTTGTAAGTCCGGCCGGCAACCACGCCATTTTTATCATAAAACGCATTGGCTGCCCATCGTATATCCATCGCTGGATAATGTGACCGATTCTTTAAGGACTAATAGGCCGATGTGGACCGATGTTGGGGCATCGTTAACACCATGGATTACCACCGATTACCACCGGTCTACGGCCACCGGCCGGGGACTGTGACCTAGGCATTAGTCACATTTCCTGGCCGGTGTCCGTAGACTGGTGGTAATCGATGGTAATCCGTTGTGTGAGCGATGCCCAAACATCGGTCCAAATCGGCTTAGTACAAATTATCCAGCGATGGGGTATACGATGGGCAACCAATGTGTTTTTGATAAAAATGGCGTGGTTGCCGGCCGGACTTACAAAGGCCCAGAGATGCATTGCTAATCATAAAACGATGATTCAGGGTAATCGACCGATATATATTACATCGCTCATACATTGGTGAACATCGTTTGTACGTCGGTCGACTATGAGCCAATGTTTGTTCGAACATCGACCGATGACCGGCCGATGTCTGTTGCCCACCACTTAACCCCCCGATGACCTCAGATGCAACGGACACTAGACGATGCTTGGTCATACATCTGCCAATCCTTGAAAGATGTGTGAATGATGGGTTGCCGATCGGGAGCGATATGAGACATCAGTGGGGACATCGCTGATTTTTAACTACAACTTATTTTTTACCGATGACCCCCACCTATTCGCCAAATGGCCTCAGTCACCGTCCGAATACTATAGGTGTCCGCCGGCAACCACGCCATTTTTATCAAAAAACGCATCGGTTCCTCATCGTATAACCCATCGCTGGATAATGTGACTGATACTTTACTGATCCCTTATGCCTAGGTCACATTTCCCGGCCGGTAGCCGTAGACCGGTGGTAATCGTTGGTAATCCGTGGTGTTAACGATGCCCCAACATCGGTCCACATCGGCCTAGTTGTCCTTAAAGAATCAGTCACATTATCCAGCGATGGGTATACGATGGGCAACCAATGCTTTATATGATAAAAATGGCGTGGTTGCCGGCTGGACTTACAAAGGCCCAGCGAAGCATTGCTAATCATAAAACGATGTTCCAGGATAATCGGCCGATGTATATTACATCGCTCATACATTGATGAACATCGTTCGAACATCGGTTGACTACGGCCAGTGTTTGGTCGAACATCGACCGATGATCGGCCGTTATCTGTTGAACACCACTCAACCTCCCGATGACCTCAGATTCAACGGATATTGGACGATGCTCGGCAATACATCGGCCGTTCCTTGAAAGATGTGTTAATGATGGGTTGCCGATGAGGAGCGATGTGGGGCATCGTTGGTGACATCGCTGAATTTTAACTACGAGTTATTTCCTACCGATGACCCCACCGATTCGCAAAATGGCCTCAGTCACCGTCCGATCACTAGTGGTGCCCGGCCGGAAACCACGCCATTTTCATCAAAAAAACGCATCGGTTTCTCATCGTATACCCCATCGCTGGATAATGTGACTGATACTTTACTGATCAAAGAACGCACCTGTCGAGTACATGTCGATATTTGCCTCTCTCTATAAAACTGTCCTTTCAATAGTGACAAATTCTCAGAACGTTAATCAAACAAACAAACTTTATTTTAGTTCGTTCGTCCATTTAAGTTTTACAATATTTTTAGAAGAATCCTTCTCTTAGAGACTTTTCTTTTGTTAGAGATATTGACGATGGAAAAGCTAATCGCTAATCATATTTTTGTATATATTTTGATTATTAGCTGGACCTTAAGAACTAAGGTATATTGCTACATAAAAAAGGGAAGTCGACGATTGTAAAGTTAAAGTCATCAGGTTTATCAAAGAGCTTAGTTGTTTGATTACCATTAACGTTTTTTACGTAAAATATCCAAATATGAAACAGATGTGTATCGACATAAGAATGAATGAATGAATAAAAATATATTTTGTTCATTTGAAAAAAATCGATATTTTGAAATGTTGAAGTGAAGGTCTTGGTTAGAATTTTTGAATATAATTTAGCAGATTTTATCAGAACTTAATAATATATTTAATAATTATAATATAATTGTATGATTATCTTTTTAAATGATTTTTTATAAATAATAATTTAATGAAAAATTCAAGTAAATGAAAGAATTTTACATCTTAGCACACGGCCGGTGTGACTGGTCGATAGGGGATGCTCACTTCTCCATGGCACTTAATCCCACCTTTGATATTTTAGAGGTCCATATCTGCTCAGCTTAAGATTTGTGTTGTTTCAAATTGTTTTTGAATTAAAATCCTGTTTGCTATCTCCATTTTTCATATTGAAATATTTTAATCACTATGAATATATCATGAATATTTTTAAATTAAAATCAAGGTTTTGGCCAAACCAAATAAGAGTAGACCGAAAAAACATTTCATAGCTAAGCAGAAAAAATCAGTTTTTAAAATAAATGTTAGAATATTTCCATTTCTAATTTTTCCTTCTGTGATAACTCTTCGAAAGTTATCGGAGTTAATTTCTTGATAATTCTACCGGAATGTAAATGAGGCAGGTCAATAGTTCATGAGCTAAGGAGGCCCAATATGCATGCAAATCTCGTGCGCACTTGTCTCTGTGTCTTACACTAAGGAGGCCAATTATGCATGAAAATTTCGTGCTACTGCCGTTGTGTTTGACGTTAGTGGACGAGGACTATTGAAATTGGGATGGGAATCCTCGTGTAATTTAAATCTATGTCTGCTTTTTTAAAGTCTACATCTACAATTTTATTTCACAATGAAATGGAAATATAAGGAATCACTGTGTAGTTAGTATAGTATGCCAGGGACATCAACAATAGTGGGAAACATGGGATAATTTATGCATAACGGGCTTCGCCCATGTATCCCGTGTTCCCCACTATTGTTGATGCCCTGGCATACTATACTAACTAGACAGTGATTCCTTAAATAATTCAAAACATATAATGTTCCCAGTAATATCCATCTGTCAAATTTAAAAAAATTAAATTCTTATATATATTCATATTTTCATATCTAATTTAAGCATTTTCTAAGAGCATAAGAAACAAAATGATATGTAATGTTGTTAATACTTTTGTGGAAAAAGAATTTAAAAGTTTAGTTACCTTTACAATGGTAACGACTCTAAAATCTCCGAGAACCAGTGATTCTGCTTTGTACCGATACCGATATTCAAATCCTATGTCATAATTATATCCGTCAGTTTGTCCAAACAGAAAAACTAACAATATGGCACCTGAAATTATCAAGTTATTCTCGACACCCATCATAGCCTTATGGTCACCACATTTTAAATCGTTGGAAAGTTTATTGCGGGTGAACCGGGAAGTGTATAGCTATTAGAGAAAATTGTGTTCTCAGGAACAACTCTAGATATTCAAACCCGATTGGTTGTACCTCACATGACCAGGAGCTGACAAAAGCTTGTCTCGGTGAAGATGCTTATTTGCAACTGGATTTTAGGCAACGATTGTGAGTTACGGCGTATGATAACAGAAATATAAATTATTTTGCTGAACGTGGTAGTAATCCCTACTGTTTAATTAAGTTAGACTAAGAAAATGGAGATTTTTAATGTGAACTTGTTTCTATTACTCTTTTCTCTGTTGATGGAAGTGCGTGGTAGTGAAACTTTTACAGAGAAATATAAAACATACGAGGAGCACTCGGGAAGGACGTTAACCGTATCAACACATGGAAGACTGCGAAATATTATTGATTTGGATGACAAAAGCATTGTTGCGGTAAAGTTTTGATTTGAATAATGCACACTCTAGTGGCACCTTTAAAGCAACTCCATTTTTATCTATTTTTTTTTAGATTAATTTAATTTTGTATTGATGTTTTTCATGTTGTTAAAGCTTATTTTTTGAGTTTTGCTTGTTTCATTGATCACGGGATAAAACTCTGTCATTCATTTTAGTGAAATGTGATTGAAAATTAGGCTACATGTTCATGTTATGTGAGACTAGATGAGACTATTCATTTGATTTAAAGGTGCGGTTTCATCCTGGGCATAGTTTTCCCCTTTTGATTGTTGTCAAAAAATATTAGTAGTTGTTTTGCAGAAAACAATGTGCCGTGATGCCTTAATTAAAGTATCCTTGGTGTCCATGAACTCCATGAAAGACTGGAAAATCGGAGATGTAGTTATTGCAAGTGCAGTCCTTGGCTGTCGACTTGCATACACAAAACAAGGCGATGGGGTCTTAGGAAAAATACTTGACATAGAGATTAAACGTAAAGGTCTCATATATCTAAAAGTAGAACAAGCAAGGCAAGTATACTGCATGTTTAGATCACAGTCTTGATTAATTACCAGGGTATATAGTTGTATAGACGATAAAGCATTTTTTTTTTAGATTTTTGTTTGTTTTTTACAGCCCTCTTGATATTTTAGAGGAAGTTGATGTGTCCCTTCATGCAAAACATCGAACTAAAAGAAGTAACTCGAATTTTCTTTCAAACATTTTGGATAGCATCAACTGGGATGAAGTGGCAAACACAACAGTAGTATTTAATCCAGAAAGAAACTCTTTTTCTCTCTTGAAAATGGCTAATAATCCGGAACCTGAAGTACGGATATACAACTCGTCAAGTCAAGACCAAATGATAACAGGAACACATTTTAATTTCACGTGTTCTTCCTGTTTTGGGACAATCGATCTATCTTATCACTTGTTAGTAGAATTAGAAATCTACCACTGTTTAAATGCAAAGATTATATTCCAGATTTCAATAATTTATCATAGAGTTAAAAAGTTGTAATACTATTTTGCATATTGAATTAAAAATTAACCACTAAAAATTTTCTGAATATATTTTAAATAGAGAAATGAGGATAAGAAGAGACCAAAGAACTAATAAACCCATCATAACTTCGTATCTCTCTCAGATAGAAGGTGAAGTTTCCAATAATTATCAGTTTACAGTTGAGTCTCAGAGAGAATTAACTCTGAAGATAGAAAAGGAACTACTGAGATCAGGACCATTAGTACTTCATCCGATTCAACTAGCAACCTTCAAAAGATTTCCTCCCATTCATTTGGCTATAAACGTGCATTCGATTACGACTTTGTTTGCTAATGTAATAATGAAGTCTTCCAAAGAGGTAAAAATAGACGACGCCTTCCAAACATCAGGAAAATTTGTCGTATGTGAGTGTGTTCTTTTGCTTAACTTTTTATGTACTCGTCAGTCTATGTAAGATATTGTTCGTATATAGTTAATCTTTTTTTTCTAGCGGGGCTTTTTGTATGGTGAAAGTTTTAAAGAAAATATAATGAGACACATATTTACAGTTTATCCACCTAAGTAACAAACTAAAAGTTAGAATGTTTAATTGGAACAAAGGTTTTCGGTTTTTAAGGAAAATAAAATAACATAATATATAAGTTTTACAATATTTCCTTTCAGCTAATATACATAGTCAAAACATTGGAGAACACCCAAATTACGTCTCAACGTACGACTGGCTTATGAGGCACAGTGCACGTGAGGGGATGGCTTCAAACGATTCTTTCTCAATCAATATCACCATTTCTCAGGAAGTTAGTTGCCTCTCTATCATTTTTTGCCTCGATTTCAACTGTTCTCAAAATTCATCTTCATTGTTCAATTTTTTTTATTAGATTTTTATTAAGCCATTCATTGAATGGAGGGAGCGAGACATTCGATTCGATTTTGGATCTCCCTTTACTGTAAGGTAGGTTTGTTGTGTAAATGAGTTTAAGCTTTACTGAATGTTTCTAGACGAAAATATATTTCTGAGCTTTACGTCTGATAATTATTTTCTTCTGTGAAGGTTAAATCAAGAATTGGATATGACGTCATCAGTTGCAGATGTATCACTCTGTGCCAATGTGGCATCTCGAATCACAGGTGTATTTTCCACTGGAATAAATTCCTTAGTCGTAGATGCTTTCGGGATTTCGATATGGTACGACTATGACTAAAGGTTATATATCTAATTTCTGATATGTTCTATTAATATCACACTGAAAGTTGAAGGTTCAAATTCATCATTATACTATACATGAAAATTATTTCTATTTCATTTTTTAAGGGGAGAAGTTTCAAAATTATCGAAGGCCCGTGCAACAAGTGTTTCTTTACTCCAACAAAATCTCTCCAATAAATGCCGTGCCAATTGCTTTGGATTTCAACAACTGATGACTACATCCATGGATGTTTGTGGTTCACCAAAAGTTGTTGTTCTTCGAAATTCATCGATGTTTTCTACGTAAAATATCTCTAAAATTAACAAAATAATTAAAGAATATTATACCAACAATAACAACTGCTTTATCTGAAATCAACTTCAGACAGTCTTGTTTTCCGAAGATAATTTCATTTATTTAATTTTGTTTCTGCATCATTAAATTTTGTTTCTGCATTTAGATTACGAAAGTTATTTGGGAATGCCATTTTATTTCTGTCGGAGGAATCCAACGAATCGTCATGGTGTGGACATCCTGGAAATCCTTGCACCGACTGTGATGACTACTTTCAAGATAACAACGTTTGCTCTGACAGATATGTTACACCAAATCTAGCAGAAGTTTTAACTAAGCTTGTCAAGTTCATTGCAGCTGAATGGCCAGGAAGAAAACTTTTGATTTTAGAAGCTTGGGACGAACCGACCTCGACACATCCACATGGTAGTCATGGCAACCAATCTTTGTTCTATTCCGGAAGAGCAGCCAGGATTGCGTTAAGCAAGAACCTCGCTAGTAAAGAACCAGAAACTGACAGATTAATTTTTCGTAGATTTGAAGAATTACTTAAATGCTCTGATGTTGATTACTTTGAGACGTTTTTAAAAGATTCTGTCGTGGATATATGCGTTGCGGATGATTCTTCTTCTTTGTTTACAAACCAGAACAACAGGAGGAAGAAAAGAGCAGTGAAATCAAACAACATCGTTAAAGTGAACACTTGGAAGGAAGACAAGGACAAATTTAATGATTATCTATTTAGCTTGGGTAAGTACAAATTAATAAGTGTTGTATTATTTTTCTCATTTAGTTATAAATAAGGACTAAAGACAAAGCCTTTTTTCTTTTTATTTTCTTAAAATAGTTTCATTATGCTGTATACTGTATGTATTACTTTTAAAAATGATGCTGTATTCTACTTTCAGTTACTGCCAAGACACTTGGATCTACATTTAAGGATTACTTTGGAAGTGGAAAATATCACCCAAAGAATAAAACTGCTGAGGAGGTGTGTGGAAAAGCAGATGAGGAGTACAGTGCGGATAATCTAGATCAGATGCAACGGTGAGATTTTTCAGAATTAAAACGTGCAATGGAATCCTAGCTAAAAAATTCATTTGTATTTTTAATATATTTATATCTTTGATCGTTTCTTTAAACTGTCAATGAGGTAAATAATTTTGAAAGATTAAGCTTATTCTAGCTAAATTGTGTTCATGGGATGATATAAAAACTACAAATAAGATATTTCATTTGAAACAACTAAAAGGATAAATTTTGATGACTGGTATAGCTAGTTTATAAATAAAATCATTAATCACTGAACAAGTGTGAATTAAGAACTCTGAATTATATTCAGTTAAAAAGTACATTTTATTCTGAGAGTAATTATTAGTATTGAAACCTCATAAATGATTGATGATTGTTCATCAGATTAATTCAGTATCCACTGGAAAATGTTGAATTTGAGGCGGAGGGTCCCAAAACCTCGTCTTGTGGTTCGGAGACGAGGGGCTGCAATCAGTGTAAGAACTACACTGATGTTGACAACCCGTGGGATTGGTGCCTGACTAGGGCCATGACAACTAGGGCTGCTACCAGACTCCGAAGACTGGTGAGAATAATAGAAGACAACGTTCAGTCTCCTTCCAAGCGATCAAGAAGTAAGGATATTTCTCTACTACTCGATCTTTTGTTCAGAAATTTCTCACCAATCAATTACAATCGGGAAGTCTAAAAAAGAATTTTTGCTAACAGTTTTATGTATAACTAACATGAAAAATCCGTAAGATACCTCCAGTTTTAGCTTTAAAATTGGCAATATTTGACAGAAATTTTTCATTTTGTTATTTCTAGGAAGTACAAATGGAATGAGCGATGAAGAACTAGGAATATGTCGATCAGGAGTTACGTTGTTTCAGACCCTTGAAGGGTGCCAAAAATTAATGAATGGAACAGATAAAAGAACTAAATGTGTTAGTTTCAATTTTTCTCACTAAGAGTACGATTTTCATCAAATGTATTACAAATTTAACTATCTGTATTTATTATTCCCCAATTCCGATGAAACAAGGATTTCCCCTTATCTATCATTGTCTGTCAATCTTTCCAATTTGGATTTACAAACTTTTTTTACTTGCGTTATCGTGCTGATTATTTACATATCAGTCTACCTTAATGGGTTACAATGTATGTTTGCAATGCATTCGTTTTTTTTTAACAGATTTTTTTTTATTTTTAAGGGGAACCAGATTTCATTTGATATGGGGACTATTGTAGCATAATCAGTACTTTCCGAATTTAGTAGTTACATGCTTCTACTTGAAATTTAGATAAATCGACGACCTATTATCAATTAACAAGGGTAATGTCCATTCTTATGACGAAACGATGTATCCTGGGGAGCTTGAGATAAAAGATACCACAGAGTCATATTTGGATATTTAACTTGAAAAAGACGTTAATGGTAATCTAACAACCAAGCTCTATGATAAACGTGATGAAGTTAATTTTTCTATCGTCAACTTCCTTTACTTATGCAGCAATGTACCTTCATAACCTGCATACGCAGTTTATATACCTCAGTTGATTCGATACGCAAGAGCATACTCTACGTATGATCAATTTCTAACACGAGGTAAATTATTGACAAACAAGTTGATGAAACCAGAATTTCAGATGTCTCTTTTAAAGTCATCAGTTCGTAAGTTCTACGATCTAATGACCAGTCCATTATTTATACATCGAATTGACGACGGATTTTTCCGTTATTTCTGATCATGACAAGGAGGACACGACGGGTGTGATCGGTCGGCAGGGGACTCTCTCCTCCATGGTACCTTATCCTACTTCCGAGTTTTTGGAGGTCCGTGTTTTCTCTGCTGCTAATTTGTATTGTTTTATGGATTTTTGCTCTAGAATACTGTTTGTTATCTCCATGTTGTACATTTAATCCGTAGCACATGAGACATCTATACAGAATGGTTATTAGATAAACGTATATCAGGTATATATAACAATAGAGCAGACAAGACAAATGTCACAAAATTATGTGTAGATATTTTCTTTTTTTAAATAGTATAAATGTATAAAAGATGCCCGATGTTGTTATGGGAATGAAAAAATTGGATGCATGAAAAGTTTCTGCTCAGGAGTTGAAAGTTCCAGCGTTTGGGACAGAATAACTTGTACAGGTAATACATTTAATAATTCGAAGACAAGGTCAAATCTGTTCGTCAATTCACCTAAAAAAAAGTATGTAGTTTTCTGACTTTTTATCTAAATATGTAGTTTGAGAAAAATGTCTTAGAATTTGATGCATTTTTAAGAAAATACCGTATTTTATAATTGGAATTGGTAAATCCATTTATCTGATTGCAAAGAACTTTCTATGAAAGCTAAATGACCAGCAGTTCAAAATAACAGTTGAACAACACAATAAAAAAATCTGGAGTAAACAAAAAAAAATCCTTAAGGTGAATTTTATAGAAAAAGTAATCATGCTTAAAATCCATTCAAGCAATACAAACTGAAAGCTGAGTAATCAAAGACCTCTAAGAACAAATATAATGGGATCAGATGCCATGGAAGAGTGATCCTCCATGGTCGAGCAGTCACAATCGGCCTTTATGAGCTCTTTAACTACATAGATTAAGTTCTGTACTTTTTTTACAAAATAAGCTAGCCGATGATTAGTTATCATTTTCTTTTTTGAGAATGAGGAAGGAGATACGATTATCGGTTTTCCCACCTCTTCTCTCACAGCTCACCATACTTTTTTTATAATTAATGACAAAAGATTTTGTCATTTTCAAAATATTTTGCAGAACCAAACCCAATGGCGGATGGCGTATCCATTCCATTAACTCCAGGTAAAATATATATACTGTTTGTCGCAACAATTTAAGAAAAAAAAATCTTTTTCTACCTTTTTATAGAAGAAAAAAGCTAAAAATTCAGGAAAACTAATACCAAAATTGTTTTTAATATTTTTCGGAAAAAAAGTTCAGATTTATTTAATTTTTCCCCTTAGCCTGCAATCAAGGTGATAGTTCAAAGATAATTCTCTACGGGAATGTTTGTTCAGGTAAGCACATTAATTATTTTTATTTTTACAAATATTACAAGAAATTTATATCGTTTGTAAATAACGAAAAAAACATTGTGCATACCTCAATTGCATCAATGGTATGTACACCAAGATATGTGGATAAATTCTCAAGTGTCCTTGGCTTTTGAGCACTTTCTCTACGTGACGTCATACATTTAACGCTTAAATACTTCTGAACACTGATTTGTAACAAAGATTATCATCTGACCAGTTTTCGAAATTTTCGGTTATGCGGTCAAAAATACTTCCTCATATTATGTTACCCTGCGTTTCTTTTTCCTCTCAGTATGTTTATTTATATGGGACTCCAAAGTCCGTTGGACAAACCAAATCCAAACCTGAATGGTTCGGCACGCCAAAGTTGATGGTGCAGAAAAAGATTAATCATTCGAAAAATGTGTAACAATTCTGGTATATCCTAGATATCTTGGATGGGTGCGCGACTAATCCTAATCGGTCGACCAGTCTGCGGGTAATTATGCCAAATCTGTCGAGTTGGTGCGAAGCTACCAGACGTATCAGTCTAATCTCTGGCGGTTGCAAGCAATAAGCGAAACCATTAAAATTGTATGTGAGGACAGATACTAAATTGATGTCTTTTTAATGCAGGACAACTACGTCAAGGATTGCCGTCGGACTTATGTGACGTTATAGACTTGATTAAACACTCGGCACCATCGAACCTTTACGTATGAGACCATCGCACTTTCGTTCAACGCGTTTACTGGAAACGAGACATTGTACTTTTGCGCGTGACCGACATCAAACCATCGGGGTCTGACGAGGCCATCTGGCGTTGGCGAGATCATCAGACTTTGGAGTGGCCATCACTCTAAAGAGTCTAATATTATGACGTCATTGTACTTTAATAAACGAGATTAAGAACATCAACAAAAAAAGCTTCGACGCAAGGGCATACTCTATTTCATTTAACTGAAACAAGGTATATTTAAAGGCAAAATATCCCAAGAATCACGGGTATTACTGCACAGATGTATATGGTTTAATTGTTTCGTTACTACTTGTAAAGATTGTAGTTAAGGTTTCGTCAAAGGTCAACATGTTCAAAAAATTATTTTTACAATAGCTCCAAATCTATGTCAGGTGTAAAGTTAGAATTTGTACAGTTTTATAATTATATCATTGATTGACAGATAGAAAGTATTACCTGAAAACAAATATTTAAAGAAAAATAATTTCTTTTAGAAAAATATATCAAGAATATTGATTTAAAAATAAAATGCACCTGCTTAATTCTGTACTCTAAGTGAAAACCATCATTGCAGAAATAATATATGTTTATCATTGAAGAGCAAGTTGGACGTGAATGGTCTCTGAAAGGCTGCTATTGAAAGTATGACATGTATGAAGACAAGACTCCTTTAAAATCCGCTATTTGCAATGTACTTTCAATTTCAAATCTTAACATTTGGACAAAATAAACCGGGAAAACAATTTTCCAGAGGTTATCTTAGTCCAACTTGCCCTTCATTGATAAACATATATTGTTTCTGCAATAATGGCTTTCACAAAAAAGTACGGAATTAATAAGGTGCATTTTTTGTCAATGTATATTATGCATTTTTTAAAATGAATTTTTCTCGATAAATGTTTTTTATAAGTATTTGTAATCAAATGGTACTTTCTATGTGTTAATCGATGATATAATTACAATCTTTAAAAGTTTGAACTTGATATAAAACCTCATAGTTTTTGAGCTATTGTAAAAATAAATTTTTGGACATGTTGACCTTTGACGAAACCTTAAAACAAACTGCTCAATCCAGTACAAGTTTACTCAAATTCTGACCAAAAAATAAAAATATCTAGGATTCGTGCATCAATTTTATAAATCTATAAAATATCCTTCTTAGCATTTTTCAGTTTTTATGATAAAATTAATAGAATAATGTCTTGCGCCGAAGCTGTTTTGTTGATGTGTTTTATAACTTCCTGCAGTTGTTGAGAAAAATTGCGTCATATATGACGATATAATAATCATGTACTAGCTTAGACTTCATGGATACTAGGAATGTGTAAGGAACTAAATTAGAACTTTATCTATGTAATAAATATACACAAGGCCCATTTGCATAGAAACGCCTATACCTAGCCATAACTCACATGCGTATTTACATGTATAGGAGATCCCTGTCAGTTCTTTACCGGAAAGGAATATAATCTTCTGCTCAAGGTGATTCTAATTTTCGAAGTTTGTTCATCGAAATGGAATCAAAAAACTATGGATTCAGAAATTCAGTCTTTGACCATCAAGGATAAAGATCTTATGACAACTTTGACTTGGTGTATGGCTGGAGAAAAACCAATATTGAAACTCCATTACCCAGATGAAGACGAAAATGATCCAACAATTGGTAAGAAAAATTCAATTAGATGTATTGCCTCTGGTCAAATGCCAATAGACATTAAAAGTAATATATTGATTATAGGTCGATATTTAGAATATACTTCCTTTTCTCCAAATATGAAAAATGCAATTTTTTATTACTATTTTGTCTGTGGAAGTTTTTTTTTTTTTAGAAAAAACCTCAGGTGGGGGGAGGAGGAGGAGGATTTCGTTATAATCCGTTTTTATCAAACAAAATACTTGCTGATTTAAGGGCATTTTTAACACTTTGGCAGAAAACTTAATAAAATTCATAACTTGTAATGGTGCAAATTATTGTTTATTTTGCACGCTTTAAACAGTAATAGCATGATGTTTGATGCTATCAAGGAAAACAACGGCTGAAAATATAGCGGAATCTCACTATAATAGTACTGGACACCATTTTTCATAACATATTTTTAAAAAGAAGAATATGGAGATAACGAACAGTATTCAAAATCCAAGTCCATAAAACAATACAAACAAAACTAATACAGTCAGACAGACATAATATTGCTCATTTCACTTGATGGCCTAGCTAAATTTTCTCAGTTCTCTTTATAGTTGCGGACTTAAGCAATTTATGATAAATGATAATGAAATTTAAAAGAACAACACTTACTTTAGGGATCGGCTACAGCTTGTTGGAGAAATATGGTTCAACTGAAAAGAAGGATTTCCTCTTGGAAACACTTCCAGGCCTTGATTATGGAAAAATAATGAGTGGTACACAAGGAATAACAAAAGAACAGGCAATTTTCTTGTTCGATGTGAGTACATGTCAGTCCTTTGTTAGCATGCAAGGTTAGATAGTCTTTTATACAAATGTGACTGGCTACTCTGTCTTTGAATAATATAGGATATCGTTTTCTCTTTAAAAGATCTAGCATCAAATATTCACATTTTCCTCTTGTCTTAGGTAATTTGTTTTAATTTCTTATTTATAGAGAACAATAAGAAGATTCAAGATAAAATCCATTAATAAGGCTGTTCCTTTTGCAACATTTGTACATTTGGATACAGCAACAAAAATTGCCCTTATAAATGCAAATTATAGAGGTGAATTTAAAGAACAAATCAAAAGTAAGTTTGCGTCAGCTGTCTCGAATGGACAGTGGGCAAATGCTGCAGCCATATACTTAAAACTGGATAACTTCATTGATAATAAATGTAGCACAACCGGCAAAGGAAGCATATGCACAAGGATGAAATGGAACGCTGAGCAGTTTAAAAAACATATAACGAGGCCAGGTATACAAATCGGGAAATAAAATAATTGTAGGATAGCTTCTAGAAATCTAATGAAGTGAGTTATTTCATCGTAATGAAATGTCCTGTATATTAGATATTTCATAATGTTAATATTAAAGTTGTCAATACTTTTCTGGTGAATATATCTACAGTGTATATAAATATCAATCACCTTAAAGGGAGATTTTATTACAATTGAACAAGAATCATGTCAAGTGTATGTTATTTAATTGTACTTGAACTCAAAAAAATTACTTGTCACGATAAAAATTATAATATTAAAACATGTCTATGTAACATTATTTTAAATAAAACTACAGTTGTAGTATCAAGAACGGACCTGTCCAGTAAAACAGGATCATCTAGCAAGACACTAGCAGCCGCTGGAAGGTATTTATTTCCATTTTAGAGCGTATCACTGTTCCATACATGTATATGATATCTATAGTTCCATACTTGTATATGATATCTATATACTTATTTATTTGTATTAATTTTAAGTATAGCCTATTAAACCTTACATTAACAGGATTTTCATATGTCTAATAAAGACTTTTTTCAAATATTTATTTAATAGATCATTAAAAATATCTGTCAACACAGGAGTGTCGTTGACCAATAGTAAACTAGCGAATCTCGCGGTTCTCGCAGGATTCGATCACGTGACCAAAGAATCGGACCATATTATAGCCAGTGTCCGAGCAGCAGCTGGCGTGAACACCGTGATAGTGAACTACCCGAATTTGAATATGCATGAGACGGAACCTCCTGTAAAAGATATGATAGAATATGAAATTCCTGCAGAGGCAGATTATAGTTTAACCTATCCTATTCTTGTAGATGGATTCAACGCTTCTGTCAATCTTTCAGATTGTTACCGGATAGAAGACATAAAATCAAATGATTTCAGGTATTTTAGATTTGATGAAAAACTATTGGAATGTTTGGAGGATGCCAGTAGCCATTCTGAAGGATGTATTAAAGTTATATCCGGTTCGGGATATCGGGTAAGATCCGACAACAATAGGAATATTGATTCCAGACATACAGAAGAGAAATGGCGTTTTTCTGTAGGTCAAGCAGTAGAAGTTGGTCAAGGAATGAACCAAAAACAGTTGTATAAACTTGGATTGACCATAATGAGATCATGTGTGCAGAATCTGATACCAAAGAGGTTAATACTTGGGATCGGAGTCCATTCAGACAGACTTTATGTGGATATCAGAGAATCAACCTCAACAGAGGAGTTTGTTAAAATCTGGGATCACGGATTCGAACCATTATACAAAGACTTGAAAGATATAGAGACTGGGTTTAAACATGGTGAGTTTAGGAATACGTCGGTTAGATAAAATATTGAAATTAAATACACTGAGATTTGCTTTAAAATTGAAATTTGTCGGTACATTTGAAGTTCTGAATGTATTCTGGTTCTTTTAAAGGTGGGGCATTCATTCAACCAACAAATAGAACAAGAGCATGCCAACCACCGCCCTTGGGATCAAATGCATATTACATTAAATATTCGAAAGAAGGGTAAATTGATATTTGTTGATCAATTTCTGTTAAGCAGTAAATTATTTGGTTTATGATTAAAATAATCACTTTAAAATAAAGAGCAAGAAAATCTAAACTAAATGAAGTATTCTCATATGTATAGTTAGAAATTCTTTTTAAAAAAATCTCAGACAAAATTAAATTATTTTCCTGGCAACATCATCCTATCATCAAATCTCTTCTTACCAAAACATGTTATCTTAATAATATAGGGAATGTGATTCGGACAGTGGTGCTTCCTCAGAGTGTTCAAAAACATCTTCCACTCGTAAGAAGGCGGCATCTGATTTTCTGGAAAGGTTGATGGAAGTGGCAGGAAACGGACCTCTGGACAAAGCAACACTAAGATCAAAGGTCAACAAGTGTTTAGTGGACCTGTGTGGGGGATGCATTGGAAAAGGTTAATTATCTTCTATAACTTGTACATATGTAATACAAATACTAATATTAAAGAGTGCAATTGATATTTTGAAAGCCTGCAGTTTTGGGATAAAGTTGTTTAAAATTCTTTTTTTATTTTGAAGAAAAATACACTAAATTATATTAGGAAGTAGTGCATATAGAAAAGTGTTTTAGAAAAAATTGCTTTTCTCTTCTAAAGGAAAAGTATGGAAAGATAAAACAATAGCGTGTTTTGACTTGATGATCTACTTTTTAAATGGATCATCTTCCCCTTTTCCGGATCTGAGGAACACCGGGGCTTTCTACAACACAGAGAACACCAAGTCTGAGGTTCATTCCTTAGCTTGTCACGATGGAAGCGCTTGTTTGGAAAATGTCCAGCTCCATTCCTTCTTACGTAAGCTAAAAGACTAGAATTTACTCTGACATGACAAAATCATAAACTCAACAAAACACCGCCATGATTATTTTCTCCTTACCTTCTGGAAAAGTGTAGTCTATTTTAATTTCACTTTTATTAAAATTTACACATACTTTTACAAATTCCAATAATGTTGGGACTTCTAATAAATTCTTGGAACTTCTAATAAAGCTCAATTCTTGGAACTTCTAATAAAGCTCCTCTTGAATTTTGTATCTTTTGCTGTGTTATTGATCTAATGATTTAATCTTACAATTTTTAGAGGAAACTTTAGCGACAAAATATAAACCAGATTCTGCAAAGACCAATGAGGAACTCGTATATGATCCTGTCGATAATCCGTCACCACTTCCGGATATCCTGGAACAGGAAATGGCCATGAGGGTGGCGGGAAATGTCTCGGTCTACATTGAAAGCAGTGGGGATGTATCAAAACTAAACCATTTACTAAAGGTAAAATCTCATGCCCAACCTCATCCAGCGACACTGATATTATCTAAATAACATTTGACAGAGTAAACGTTCTACGTATTATTGAATAAGTAGTTTTTTTAATGTTTATGATCGATATTGTTATTACAGAATATTTTAAGTTTCATTTCTGGGAAAAAGACAAAATTGGCTATGATGAAAGTTATTTCTCTTTTAATATTGTAAGCTTTTTATGCAATCGTCCGTCACAGCTGACTCTGTTTTAGACATTCATACATCATATACCGTGTTTACTAAGATAGACAGGTGCTTGTTATTTATTTATCATATTTAAACATTTTAATTCCGATAGTTAATTTACTTTTAAAAATGGATTTTTTTCATGGCAAATTTTTAAAGAATTGCTGAATGTGTATATACTTCTCTAATGACATTTGAAAAAAAATGTTATTTCAATAAACGTGTTTGGATTTAGATATATGGATTTATACATCGCTGTTTATTGGAAAAAAAATTTTATGGGATATAAAATAAAAGTTAAAAGCAAAGAAAACATAACATGGCTTTACGTTACTAGATCCTGTTTTACTATCAAAATAAGACAATAAATTTGATCTTGTTATTTTGGGCAATTACATAAAAGTGTAATGAAACCTCGAATTTGATTATTTACAGATACTTATGATTTATAACCTAAAGGTGACCAATGTTCAATTTCACCTCACAAAGTCAGTGCGAGAAAATCAAGTTATGTCTGCAATCCAGCGTAAACTTGAGCGATGGTCGTATTCTGCGTGTCCGGATAGATCCCGGATTGTAGTGGCGCCCTACACGGTCCATAAAATATCTCACGAAAGACACAGGAGAAGTATTGAACGAAGTGAAGAAAGAAACATTGTGAAACGGTTGAGAAATAATTGGGAACTTGAGTGGTTAGCGCAAACATGATTTTTTTTTCTTTCCATAAAACAATCATTTAGAAGTGCAATTTAAAACCATATTAAAGGACCTTTATTTCGCATAATTTAACAAATATATAACTCAAGTATTTTGTAAGTAAAGAATACATTTAAGACTTTTTTATAGTAAATTTAAGTCATATTTATTAAAAAAAAATTATTGATAATTGTCATTATTTTTCCTATCAAAATATCCAAATATGAAACAGATGTGTTATACTTTTTTACCCCATTATTTTACTAGATTTATGAATAGAAACCTGTTGGGCTTCAATTTTCTGGCTGAATTCAAATCAGTATGTAGCTGGGGTACTTTTGGGACCATCTAGGTTCCATTTCAGTAAATTGAATCTCCGAGATGAAAACAATAACCATACAAAGGATTTCTTTTTAACTTATTTAAGCACATTTTATTATAAAATTAGCTGCACATAATTTGTCCTATAAATTCAATCATAAATATGATTTTATATAAACAGGCAATTTTTGAGTCCAAATATATTGCTATTAAATTTGAGATTAAAATTTTTAAACTGTTTTATGTCTGTAAGTTTCTTAGAGAACAGGGTGGAATCCATTCCATTGAACGACAAGACTTTAATTAATGCAGAGTTCTAATTAATTTGGTCATTTGTCAGGCCCACTCTGTTATTTCTTGTCCTCTTGATGAGCCCAGCGTAGAACAATAGAGCGATAACTACTGCTATCAGGATCACTCCGCTGGAGACTCCCACTGCTATATACAGGGTACCTGTACAATACAAAGAAGAAATAAGCAATGTTGATCCGGGAAAACGTCAGAGAATCTGTGGAATAACTTTATACTGAATATGCTTCTACCAGAATATGTTTTGATAGTTGTTGACCTTGATATTTGTCTATAAATTCAGAAACTTTTTTTATTTGAAAAAAGAGAGAAAAAAACATTTAGTTTAAATTTACAATGTTAGATATTACCTTTTGCATTTTGACTTTGTTTTTCTTGAAAGTGGTCGACTTTACTGGGTGTTTGAATGCCTTTTGACCATGTTGAAGTAATTCCCTGCGAAATGATCTCCAATTGCTTTGTAAAGAATTCTCCCTCGGTGGTATCCTGTTTTGTAGACGTTTGGGACGTTGGAAGCCCAATTTCAGTGTGATCGTTTTGGGACTTTAGAGCTTTGGTTGTCATGGATCCCACGATTTCATCCTTACTAGAGGTTTTTGATGAATCTGTGTACCCCATTCCAGTTTTGTTCCCAAGGTGATCTGTATCGTTCTGTATGTTCAGAGGAATGATCGATGTGGGATTTGATCCAGTATTCAGAACTACTGATTTTGTAGAAGTTCCAGTGGAACTGTTAATACCTAAAATGATGATGTTTTTCATTATACAGAAACGTATATCGGGAAACGTTACATTATTCGTCAGTAAATTGTTTTACTTTTTGTATGAAGTCTAAAAAATAAAAAGTTTTTTCTACTTCTTAACTATAACATTGAGTTTAAAAGTAAATGTCATCTGGAAAATAGTTCTTTAATTTCAAGTATATCTATTTTAAACACTGCACAATATACAATTTGCATTTGAAAACATTACAACATTTAAGTTCCTCACTGTTGTGATTGCAATAATTTCTGATCTTAAAATCAAGGTTACCATTATACTGAGCCAATTATAGTACATAGGAATAGTTTTGCTCCCTTTGAATTTTTCTTTCAGATAAGGGAATTTAAAATAAAGATAATTCAAACACAACAGCGGCTGAGTGAGTTATAAGCTGTTTGCAATCGTTGGGCAAAAATAACACAGCTTAGCAAAAATAACCTATACAATTAAAACAATTAAAAGCTACAGGTTGATTTCCAAGTAGCAATTTCTTAATCTAAATTCACTTTTACCATAATTTTTTTTAAAGCTACTATCTTTCAATTACAAGATAGTCTTACTTTTGCCATTTTGAATAGGGTTTTCTGTGAGAAATTCGGTCTTATTTGATATAGACTGTGTGCCTTCCGATGATGTTGCAGTACTAAATCGTGAAGCGTTTGTTGCTGTTGTTGAAGCCACCGTAACTTCTATTCCTTGCTTCCTGTCATCAGTTGACTTAAACATTCCACTCTCAGATGACGGATCTTTTGTTCGAATGTTCTGTAGATTTACAGTACTCACTCTTGATGATCCCTTTGATTGTGTGTTTATTGTAACCTGTACTCTGGTGTTATTTACGCTTTGCGTCGTTGTTTTGTACGTTGTAACGGGATTTGAAGCATTAATTACTTTTGTTCCGCTTTCAAAAAAAATTATGTTGGAAAATTTCATTGTCTTTTATTCTCTATTGAAGTTAGCCGTAAAGCCTAAAAACGAACAACTAAAAAAATGGTGTAATTCTTTAGATTAATGAATTTACCATTGTATCGTTAACATCTGCAAAAATAATGTATTATGTCTTGTAGATTTTTTTTTTAATTTTCTTTTTAATTTGCTATTATATTTTATTGTTTCTGCTTTTTTTTTTGAAAGAAGACATCTTTTCATATAAGGTTTCTTCTTCTTTTTTTTTTTTTAATCAATCACATTTTTGCTTAAAAATCGGTATTTTTCTCTTCTGTTGATATCTTGTCTAGATTCTGCATTAAAATTTTTTTTAAAAGTATGTCCACGTATATTATTTTAAATTTTTGCTATGATACAAAAGATTGTATTACATATATATTTCGATTTTACTACTTTAAGCTTTTTTTTTACAAAACTAATAGTAAGTAATCCCTTATGTCTTGGCAATTGAAAAAAATTGCAATCATATTCCATCATAAGTTAAAAAGGTCTTACTATTGTGCTATAAATGCATGTATAAGAACAATATTAGTACTTACAAATTTCACAGCATCTTCCGGTTGTACCCAAGGGACACAAACACATCCCTGTTCCGACAGAATCGTTTTGAAATGTGCCCCCGTTGTTGCAGAATGTGTTGCAACCAAAGAGGACCTTAACTGATTTGGTGATAGTCAGAGTAAGATTACAGCGTGTCCCACATTGGGATCTCGTTAAGTTCCCACAACACACATATTGAAAATAATGTCTGGTTCCTCCTCCACAGCTTCGTGTACAATTTGAAAGGTTAGTGGTTTGATTTATATAACTGCATAAAGTACAAGGAGTTCCAATACAGGAACCGAAAACACAAAATAGTAAACTCACTTTCCACCAGTATGCATACATTTTATTGTCTTAACAAAAAAGAGTCAAGTTCATATTTACTCTTTCGTTTGGTCAGTCAACCTGTGTCGATAAAGACACTTGAAATTTGATTAAGTATCCAGACAGATACGGACAGATAATTGTAGATAGAATAGGCAATAAGTCGAAATTTTGTAAGATTTGCATACAATTTATTTTAACAATTTATTTGCATACAATTTATATTATACTGACATACTCAAGTATATTTTGTCAACCTTTTTACATTAAAGTTAAAGCTTATAAAAATTAAACCAGAAAAGTTCTCATTTGGACACATTTTCTTTAAGATCAAGAGATTTTGTTACTATAGTCATTAATACACATATTCTCAATTTTGACGCATCCTTTTGTTATGCATCGAATGATTGGAGAGAAAAAATCTTAAACCTATTTTTAGGTTTCAGAAAACGTTTATTATGATGTTCAGGATCTAATCAAAGTCATTCTCTGTCACATGAACTCCTATTTGAAAAATCTGAGGTTTTCCAGGCTTTTTAACGATTTTGATATTTTACATGCCAGGAAAACCTCAGAATTGGCGCCATTACGAAAACTGGGAAATCGCCGCCTCCAACCGAAGGCGGCACTCTCGAGTTGATTTTAGGTACTTGCGAACCGAATTAAATTTCAAAGTTATCAATAGTACATGTACAATACTTTTAGTACTTACCAGTCCGTAAATTATAGTTTACAACCGATAAACCTAGTTTATTGACTGTGAAAGTTTAGCTAATTTTTGGGAATTTGGCGGGCCATATTGGTGAGTACTACAAGCATTGTGCTTTTGATAAATTCTGATTTCGGCAATTACTTCGGTTCGCAAGTGTTAAAAATGAACTCCGGTTTGAGACGGCAAAATTTCCAGTTTTCGTAATGGAGCCGGTTCTGTCGATTTCCTGGCACGTAAAATATCAAAATCGTAAAAAAAACCTGGAAAACGTCAGATATTTCCGACTAATGAATTCTCTTCATTTACCAAGCGTTGAACCAAAGTCTTTGTCACGTATGTATATTCCTTAACCAAGCGTAGAATCAAAGTCATTCTCAGTCATATGAACTCTGTGATTTCTTTTCATTAGCCAGATGTAGAAGCTAACAGAGGCTACTGCAGCGATCAGAAACACTCTGATGGGGACCCCTACCTCCACGTACAAGGAGTCTGTAAAACAAGAAATAAAACTCTGCAGAGCTACTTAAACAAGGAACACTGTGACTTAATTTCAACTCTTTCATGAAACATATGGAGAAAACGAACAGTATTCAAGATCAAAAGTCCATAAAACAATACAAAGTAGGAGCAGAGCAAACATGGACCTCCAAAACATCAGAGGTGGAATCAGGTGCCATGGAGAAATGAGCATCCCCTGCCGACCTGTCATACCCGCTGTGTGATCCTTGTTTGGGAAATAACGAAAAACTCCATCGTCAATTCAGTGTATAAATAATGGACTAACAATTAATATGAAAAAAGTCTGTCAGCATTTGATTCAATGATAAATTGTATTTGCTGACAAGGTCATTGTATCGACCATAGAACTTACGAAATGATGACTTTAAACGAGATTGTTGAAATTCTTGTTTCATCAACTTGTTTGTAAAATTAATAATTTAGCTCCTTTTATAAACTGTTCATAGGTAGAGCATGCTCTTGCATATCGAATCAAAATATAAAAAAAAAAAAGAATACTCGCATCATTGGCATCAACGATTGCTCTTCAGTTTAATTAAGCCTTCATAAGCAATTATAAATTTTAAATCAGATTGTTTTTTAAACTTTAAAGCATTCTTACTTTTTCTCTGTTCCACTTCACTGTGTGTTGAATTCGTGTCTGTGAATAGTTAGGTTATTGTGATTACACTGTACTAGATTCCAGAGTTTTCTTATTCTTATGAGTTTTGCTGTATAACGATTTATTTGTTTTACTGTAAAGTGATGTATATATAAGACCAGTATTATACTTACACGTCTCACAGCATCTCCCGGTGGTACCTGAAGGACACAAACACATCCCTGTTCCGACAGTATCGTTATGAAATGTGCCCCCGTTGTTACAGAATGTGTTACAACCGAAGAGAATCTTTTCAGACTTTGTGCTTGTAAGGCTCCGATTACAACGTGTCCCACATTGGGATCTCGTTAAGTTTTTGAAAATGTCTGGTTCCTCCTCC